ATTTAATGCAGCAAGTTCTTGTTAATTGTTCTGAATAAAACGAAAAGGGATAGAGCACAGAAGTTTCAATTTTTAAATATCACACTTTGAAACATAAAAAGTTCAGATTATTATATTATATATGGTTTGATATAAAATCATTAAAAATCTATCTACTTGATACTTGTGTTAAATGATAGAAAAAGAAGAATGGAATTTATAACAAAAGAATAAATGAAAAAGTGTCACTTTATGAGACTTAATGTTGATAAAAAGTTACCAAAAAAATTTTTTATTTAAAAACTGATTTTGTGGTTTTATAAGGAATGTATAAAGGACAGTAATAAAAACTTATACTTGACTAAAATAATGAAAGAATAAATAAAGTTTCAGAAAATTGTTATTATTAAATTCTAATATCTAATTCCTGTATCTTTGAAACCTTATATGACTATGTTTTAAATATCAAAGGTTTACACCATCAGGTTGCAAAGAAATGGGGGCCTGAGAATAAGAGTTTGGAGCAAGTATTCAGTGCCTTAGTAGATGGTTTCAAAATCAAAATCATAAATGGATTCTATATCTACCAAGATATATAAATGAATATAGAGACTGTTAGACTAGATTTTAATAGTTTATAAACACAATCAAAGCCTATATGTGTAAACTCAAGGACGAAAAATAAACGAATTAGTTTAAATCTTGATTTCAATTTATGTATGTATATGCAGAGGTAAAAATAGGGTACGATGCACAATATTAACATCCCTCTAAGATACAACCCCATAAGGAACACCATGATATACAGTGTAACTTTGAATATTCCTACCAAGAAGAGCCCTTCCAGAAGTTGAAGTTTGACTTTGATGTAGCCATGATAATGTATTCTCTGGAACTATAGAAGATCCCGTAAATTTCCATGTGTTCTTTAAGAGATTATATTCTACCTTTTTCAGATTCTATCAAACCTTTATCAGATTTCATTGAACCTTTATGAAATTCTATCAACAAAATTTTTTTATTCAATAAGTCGAATACGACCATTTAGTCTCCAGGGTGTCTATTCTTTTGGTTTCAGGTTCAGCAAAGCAGGACTTTCCTTTCAAGTAAATGATGTTTAGAGCAATTCGGGCACTCCTCGTTCTTTACATAAAACATAGTTATAAAAAGAAAATTTTGAATGCAATTTTATTCTAAATATCATAGGTTGTAATTCAACTTGATTTAAAAAAATACCTTTAAACATTTACTCTTGTTTTGCTAGCTTTAGGACTTCAGGTGATTGAAGGAGGTTTAGCCTTATAAAATAAAATATTTTTTATTATTGCACATTATTTCACATTATTGCACAGAACAATATTTATTTTGTTTTGATTTCTATATCTGCCATTAAGAATATCAAAAGAAAAAATATCAATATTCAAGAAAACTAAAAAGTGATGGAAGAATTTGTTATTAACTTTAATAAAAGCTATAAATTGTTTAGATACAAATAAACAGGAAAAACTGCTTAAGTTATAAAAATCCAGTTTACAGCCTAAGACCAAGACTTTTGAAGTTTTGTTAAAAAAGTTGTAATGTCCTCTGGCCCCGTCCCCCGTAGGAATTATAGGGTTTACTTTAAATGACACTCTTGATAAACTGTAAATAATGGTTTTAAAGCTGGAGACATTCACAATTTTTTGGAAACCATTTGTTCCATGTTTGTAAGCAAGATAATATTTAAAACAAAAACAAAATATTTTACATTCAAAACAATAGTTCCCATAATCGATAAAACATGTGACAAAGGCGCCTAGACCTATTCATGACTGGCAAGGTTAGTCTAGGTGTACTCTTGTTCTACAGGCTATAAAATGTAACCAAATTTTTACGGTGATAACCAGACAACTCTGAAATAGGAAGACAACTTTTAGTCCCCAGTCGTGCTTTTAAATTTTAAATTTAAAGGATTTTTTTTAAATTTATGGGGTAGGGTACAGGGCGGAAAAAAGTTTGGTCAATGAAAAAAAAATCTAAAATAGTCCATTACTTTTTTGTGACAAAAGCAACAGATCTAAAAACTATATATTTGAGACGCCCTTTAAAATTGCATGTGTCACAGTTTGATATTTGTTTACAGCAAAAAAAAATTTTTCATTTATTTTACCCTTTTTTAGACATTTTTTCCACTCTCCCTAGCACCCAAACTATTAAATCTATTGGTTAATTTTTTTTCTTTGAGCTGGCCATGACAAATTGGGTTATGAACATGCATTTCAACCCATCTATTCTCCAAGGCCTTTTTTTATAGGGGGTGCCAAAGGCTTTACCTAGATTAGGTCCCCCATCATAGGGTTAAATATTGCAATGAATTTATTCTCAGAGAAAATATAAGAAAAAATTAAACCAAAAACAAGAAAAAATATAAAAAAAGATGAACAAAAAAAACAATTAATTTGGTTTGTTAAAAAAACCTTTAAAAAAACTTCCAACATTTCATTTTGTTACAGTTTTCTGTTATTAAATATTGCAATATATTTATTCTAAAAAAATGTAAGGAAAAAAAAATCGTTTAGTTTTTTTGTTGTTCAACCCTTAAATCTGGTGAATTTCAATCATCATTCTTAGTTTTTTGACTCCAACCCTCGTCGTCTTGAACGCAGTGAACATTATCAATTATATTCAATTATCATGACATAAGCTGCAATTTTCGATTAATCTGTGCTTTTGATTCATCACTACAAATCTCGAGCGTGTGAAATAATAATGCTAAACGCTCATTGGTTTACAATTCTGAGTGGTGGATCTACATAAGTTATATAGATAGTTACTAAGACGTCGTTAAAATGCTGCATAATACTGAAACAAATTGTTTAAACTGCATTTATTTAGTCATGAAAACAATTTTCTTCAATACCTCAGCTTAAATCTTAGATTTTCAATTATCCTAAAATTAGTTTCAAAATTTGATTAAACAATAATTTTGATTCATCAATATTGAAACATGATTTCCTGTATTCTCATTGGTTTACACATCTAAGTAGTACTGAATCTACATCAAAATTGTTAGTTCTGCAAAACAAATCAAAAATACCTGTTATATTTCTTGAGTAGACATCTTACAATGATATAAATGTAATATAGTAATTCAAGTTTGATTGTCTTATAATTATTTCCCATTCTATTTACAATGTACAGTGGTCATGTATCTAGAGATGTGTCTTGCACTGGTGTGGGGTTATTTCTGGGTAAACGTTAAATAATGGTAGTAGACTCCACGCAGCAAATTGTTTGCGGCATTCGCACACAATTCTGTGAATTTTAAGAGTTAATTAAGTGAAAGTATTTCTCATATTTGAGAATCAATCAAGTTTTGCTGAGAGACAGACAGAAAAAATCAATTGTTTTAACATTAGGGATCGATATTACAGCTTAGTTATAAATTGTTAATATTCTGATACTTGCAACTAATGAGAGTTTAATGTATCGTTAATTGCTTCTGTACTCACATTATATATTAGCATATAGTGTATATTTTAACCCTATTCCCCTGTAGTTTTTTTTACATAACTCAAAAAGTATTGGTCTGAGGCTGTTAAAATTTTCTGACTTTTCATACATACCCAAAGCCCTCCCTTAAGGCCTAAAACCCGGCTTTAATACTAACTGCCTGAGTCCTCAAGCACACTGCCTGAATGACTGCTTTTTCCTGATGCTGCGGAAAATTTGCTGTGTAGAATCTACTACCAATATTTAACGTTTACCCAGAAATAACGTCACACCGGCTAGGGTAGTTGGATCGCGCCCTGCTACTGCAATAATTTTATCAATGGAATTACTTAATTATCATACATTAGGACTAATTTATCAGTAATTTCTACAAGCCACTGTAGCTCAGTGGCAGGGTCTGTGCACTTACAGACATGACTTGTTTGATTAGAAAGGCTGATATTTCTAGACCTTGTCCTACGACCAGTGGCATATGCCTCGCAAATTATTTTGTAACAATCAGGGGGTCTGTGGTAAACCAGACCTCTTATGATTGCGTTGTAGTATGCAGGGGTCCCGGGACCACTGGAGAACTGAACTTGGAAGGATGGAATGACTTGGCGATTTCTTCTAATAGCTTGAAATGTCAATGGCCCTTCGGAGGCCCTTTCAAAGCCATTTGCAAAATATTTATTCTTCATTTTCATAGATTCCACCAATCTTCAGGAGGAACGAACTTGAGTTCAATTATTAAGAAAGCAGCTTGATGGCAATGAGCTAATTATTCTTTACATATATTGTGTTCAATTAGACTTAGATATCAGACATTGATTAAGGTACAAACTTTTACAAACATCAAAACAAATTTAAAGGGACTGTACATGTAGATGTACTCAATTTGTAGAGTGGAATGTCCGGTTCACAATGGTACCCTTTAAATTTTTGTTTGATTAAAGTTTGACATAGATATCCTTATTTTAAAATTTTTGCATTATTTTTTCAAACAATTTTCGCATTTTTTATTTCCAAAAATTTTGCATTTTTTCAAGAAACAGATTGTAGCGAAATTTTGCGAAAATTTTCAGATTTAGTTTGCAAGCAACAAACTGCAAAAATGAAGCGAAATGGTCAGGAAAAAAAATGATTTTTCCTTTTGCTGGAAACCCTCCGAATAGTGCTAGAGACCATAATTTGGCAGCATTACTCAGCTCTTCAGGGCGGATAGGATAAAGTTTGACATCTGTATTCTCCGCCATTATTAGTAAATAAATTTATCCTGCACATTTGTAAGATAGACTTTGTGTCCTCCTCATCCCAAAGGGTAGATTCTGAAACCCTTTTAACTTATAATAGATTTGAGCTTCCTCCGCCCTAAAAGACCAGGTAGAGACTACTCCTACTTCCCAGAAGAGGCAGGAAGTTTTGGCGGATTCCAAGCATAGGTATGGCAGATGGAGAAAAAAGATGAACATTTATGAAAATTATTAACCATGCCTGGAACCATTCAACTAGAGGTGTGAAATAAATTTCCAACATTAAATAATTTATCAAAAGTTTGAAGTTATATTTTATTGCTTGACTGTGTTATAAATAAAGAATTTATTATTAATCTGAACAAGATATTTTCTTGATTTCTCGACAATATTTTGAGGTTTATTAGGGTCAGGATCAGAATATGCTCTGAAGGATGGTAGATTCCATGTTAACTTGGGCACACTCTCTTCTCCAAACTGAAATTAAATATGAATACATCAAGTATTCTAATATATATTCAAATAAAATAAGATAAAGTCCTCATATCTAAAATTACCTTTAAGTTTTGTATCACCCAATCTCCTGATAAAATATCACTTTTGAATATGTCCATTAAAGGTAGATGTAATGGCGTTCAGAGGGACATACCCAATTCACGCAAATATCCTTTAAATCTTTGTTTAAGTAAAATTATGAAAATATTGTTGTTTTTCTCTGAAAATAAACATTTTATAAAAGAAGTTGCTTTTTTAAGTAATTGCAGTTTTTAAGTAGCAGAGACATAAAAATCTTCCCAATTGTTGCTTGGGTAAAGGTTTAAGGAGTACTGATGTGAATCAGGCATTCTTGTGAATTGGCCTTTACAAGAATTGTACAGCCAACAGTGTTTAATTCATATTCTCACAATTATAAGAAATATTCCAAAATCTCTGCTATCTTGATTTTACAGCCCATGTGAATAAAAAATGTTCAAATGTAATTTCCCAACAAGCGAAGATCTGTATAGAAGGAATTGTTATCCACAGCACACTCCAACATTCCTACACTTGTCAGACCCACCTAAATTAACAGATATAACTAGAGTTATAATCTATTTCTGGTATTCTAGGACTCCAACATCCCTACAATTGTCAGGCAAACCTAAATTAACAGATATAACTAGAGTTATAATCTATTTCTGGTATTCTAGGACTTTTACCTTTTGCTATAATCAAGATTTTGTATAGCAAAATAATGGCAATCTTTAGTGAATATGTACAATTTTTTATTTTAGTGGAGTCTCCTAAAAGCCTAAAAGTCCTAAAAGTTTAACATTTTCAATAAATTTTTTTTAATTCACATTTTGTAAATTAAGATTACAAATATTGGCATGATGACAACCTATGCAACACAATTTTTACATTCATTTCATGGATGAATCTTTCCATCAATTCATGTGATTTCATTTGTTGCATATTCCAACATCCTTTTCTGATCAAAGATTGTTATATAACATCCTTCTTTTAGGCGGGACACTATCACATTCAGTAAATAACTGATCATTTTACCAATTCTATAATCTATTATTATTATTATTTTACATTAGGATTTAAATTATCTACATACTACATAGTTACCTGAACAAAACTTGAATCACAATAGGCCCCCCTGAGTCCCCTGGACATATAGTATAATGAACTCCAAAATACCACAGTTAGGGCTGAAAGATTTTCTTATCTAATTCTTACCATTACATGTATCCTTAGATGGTGTTCGCGTACAGAAAGCTGTTTCCTGTAAAATGCACAATTATGGTAGGTCACTGGAAGCATTCGGAATCTTCATCTTCATCTCATGCAGACATTTAATTCCTCATTGATATCCCATGTTAGTCATACTCTGCAGGGATAACTTTAATTGAGGGATCAAGTATGTATCCTTAAATTTAAAAGTCCCCGCATTGAATATTGAGACCAAAGCGATTAAGATAAACACAGTACAAAAGTTCCGAGCTTGGGTCAAACTACTGGTTTTCAGTGTCCCAGGCATACAGAGTAAGAACAATAAACCCTTTATAAATAAAATCACCATGACAAAATTTGATAAGTAATCTTAAAATCTTTATTTTATTACTGTAATTGTTTTCCTCTCTCTTGACGTACAGGGGGATACCATGAGGTCAACCTGAACGAAAAACAGTGTGTAAAACATTTAAAAGTAGGCTGGCACAAGTATAGCTGCAATATAGGTTAACTGAAGTTTCCATTCAAAATATTTGCAATAATAATGCAAAACTAGATCTGTAGCTTGCTTACTGACCTGTACTAGGGTTCACAGCAAAAAGGGTAAAAATTTGGAAAAAAAAGTTTGTCACAAATTTTGCATTTTGTTTGTGCCTGTCATTGCACTAAAACTTACCGCATGTATAGCAAAAGTTGTACATTTTCTCATAAGCTAACTTTTTGATAACAAACATTTTAATATATTTTTATTATTAAAGAAAGTTTCGGCACATGGAAACCATCAGCCTAAAACTGTAGATTTGAATAACAGTTTTTAACAGTGTAATGTGAAGGTCATGCAAATATTCATGCATGAATGTGATCAATGTCACTGTGGACTAATTCAATTTGATGCTCATCAAGTACCATGCCGACCCGAACCTATGCTGGCTCGGTTTTAACTTTGATGTCACAGCCACACTTTATGCAGTACCTGGCCTATCATGGGCCTGTTTGAACTATCCCACTAGATTAACCGTCTTAGTACGAAGCAGTCGATATCGACCGCTCACTTTAGTCACTCTTTAACCCCTTATTGGTTTACAAATTAATTTGTTTTTTAAAAGTTTTGCGTAACTTGGGAACCCAGAAACCAAGTTCAAGCATGTTTTTGCTTGTTTTTGTTTTTATTCAGTGTGAATCTTGATAGGTAATGAGAGGATACGCAAAAATTAGACAAAAATGTGTGACCCCCTTCACTTTTTAAAAAAGTTAACATTTTGTGTGATTTTTGTTGAAAAAAATACGTCTAAAGTTATTACTTTTTATATAATTAACATTTTAATTGTTAAAATTATCGCACATTTAGGGGACATAACAGTGTCAGTAGGGCAAAATAGACGACTTCCCGAGTATCAAAATAATATAAACTGAATTGTTCTTTATATTTTCATTAATAATGTGGGATAAGAAGGTTGGGATGGGAAGGGATGGGTGGGATGGTATGGGAGGGATGGATTGGATAGGAAGGGAGGGGTTGAAAGGAAGGGATTGGGATGGGAAGGGAGGGATGGGAGGAATGGGAAGGAAGGGATGTGAAGGGAAGGGAAGGTCGGGATGGGAAGGAAACATGATTTATGTGAATGTAGGGGAGAAAATGAATAATTTCTGAACGGTAAATCTAATACTTAGTATAAATTTTATGAAAACTAGTTCTAGAAGATAACTGGGGCGTATACAGGATTTTTTTGAAAAATATTAAGTTTGGACATAGACGGTTAATTTAATGTGATGTGGAATGAATATTCACCTCTTGAAGCACTGATGAAATTCCTTTAGAATTAGAATTAGTCCTTCCCCATCCTAGAGCAATGACTGTTGAGCCTGGGGGTAACTAAAACAAAAATATACTCAAAGGCTATATTGCTAATTTCGAGTGATCCAAGATTCTCAAACGTACCCATGAAACCTTAATCTGTTCGTTAATGTGGAAGATAGGGTGGTTTTCTTAGTTTTACAAGTCACAAGTGTAGAGAACCCACGAATGAAATTTATCAGTTTCTCAAACCAAAAATATGGATATCATATTCATATTTGATCAGACAAAGGTTTAAACTGAACCCTTTGTGGCTTTATAAATGAAGAACCCCTGAAATAAATATACAGTCTCTTAAGTATCGATCCAACTTTTAATAGCATTGAACTAAATATAATTTTTGCAACATTTCAATGAACTGCAATTTCTTGGACAATTTCAAATAAAAATGATGTATTGTAAACCCACTAAGGGTCAATCTCCCATGTACATAATCTCATAAATTCATTAATCCCAGTCGGGGTGCAATGAACCTCAAGTAGGGACAGCCTGACAACAAACTTTAGAGAGTATCAAACCCTTCTTTATCAAGTATTGAGGAATAACATGATGCCGGAGAAAGGAGTAATGAGATTAACTGATGGCAGAGAAATCAATATTGTTGGCCATTTTATGTCCTGAGATAAAGTTTGGTCAGCACCAAGCATCTGAAGAGAAGAGTTGAATGGAAATCTAATCCCCCTTTAGGCAAATGTCTTTGTGTTATTTAGATCAACTTTAGTTGGTCCAGTTGTTTGTATAATTATAATGTAAATATATGTGTGTGTAACCATGCATTATTATTCAACTCAATCTTGGCTTATTCATACTGAGTTCTTTTCAAGTTTATAGTATGCCATAATAAATCCAATACAACTTCTTTGGAGCTATGATGGCTGCAAGGATTTAGAGGAGATCATATTTACATCCAATGTTTTTAAGGAAAGATAATATAAGATAAAATAAGATAATCTGGTACACTGTGTAATGTGCAATGTGCATCTATTTTCTCAAAAATTTTTATCCGTGCTCAATGTGATTTTGTCAGGCCAGCTACATATGTTTGTGGGCCGAACAAAAGGAATAATACTCGAAAGAGGGAAAGGCGAGTTGGCAAGGAAAACACTCTTTCCTACCAGACACAGATAGGTGATAACTTCTTGAAAAATATATTTCAGTAACGAGGTTTCCTACAAAATACAAATTGTTATTGGCGTACATGCATATGAATAATAATTGTTAATAAAGATTAAACGGTTGAGGGTTTTATCAAAAATGAACATTGTTGTGAATCGAACAATTGGTTTAGAAATATGTATTATTGAGAATTGAACAAAGGCTTAAAAGGTATTGGAATTCTAGGTTTTGTAGGTTTAGCAGGTTTAGCAGGTTTAGGAAACTCTAGGTTTAGCAGGTTTAGGAAACTCTAGGTTTAGCAGGTTTAGGAAACTCTAGGTTTAGCAGGTTTAGGAAACTCTAGGTTTAGCAGGTTTAGCAGGCTTAGCATTCATGTTTTATTACTGTTGTGAATCGATAAATAAAGGTTTTAAAAGGCACTATTGTGAACTGATAAATAAAAGGTTTAAAAGGTACTGTTGTGAATTAGGTATACGGAACTTACAATCTAGAAAGCTGTGGTACGGCGAAAAGTTGTTTGAATTGAAGTCTAAAGCAATTTAATTCTTCTGAAATAAATATTTGACTGGTTAAAATAAATTCACTGTTTATATGTAAATGATTCACTGAAAATTATGTTTAAATGGGTTCTTTTAATGCACTTTGAGTTTTGTTAGCTCCATGAGGTTATTGTTTGTATTCATGCAAAATCCTTGGCAAGGTTTGGTTTGGCGGGTGGCCGGAGTATTCAACTGAGATACAATTTGTCGGAGACGACTTTTAAAACAGGGTTACATTAGGGGTATGGTTCACAATGTTACATAAAACTACTGGGTAGTCCGGACTGAACGGTAAAACTGACTGCATATTGCATATACAGTACATGTTGTAGCGGCTCGCACCATGTTTAGAGTTTAGAGAGCTATGGACACCTTAATTTATATACATATAAACATACCTCAGCTCTGGGATGTATCAATGATATGGGTTGAACATTTAGAACTGGATCTCTAAATATTTATACTATAATTGGGCTAAATTATTTTTTCCAAGATTAAAAAAAAAAACTTACCGTACAAACAACATTGCTATATCAAAATTAGCAAACAAGAGTTCTCGATTCCTGTTAAACCCTAAATCATTAAAAGATGTTCAAGGCCTTGAAGGGACTGTAAACATAATTTCAAGTGATCCTCCATGAAAAGATGGCAATGAAGGGTTAACAACCCTTAAAAACTTTGTATGAATTATATATCAATTTTTATACTTTTGAAAACGCTTATTTTTATTTTAGTTTCTCTACAAAAGTCACTTGTGCAATTTTACAAAAAGAAACTTAAATGAATTATCAGAATTAAACACTTTTAAACCTAGAAATATTTTCCACAGTGTTGATTAGAAAAGGGTACTGGTGTGAATCAGGCATTGCCATCTTTGCATTTAGGGTCACTTGAAAATACCCTGTTTTTTTTAAAAACAACTTTAAAGAAAAGAAAGCTATGAATGTTAATCCTATGTTTCAGAAAATACAGAAGTCAACATTAATGAGCATAATTACACATTTGTTTATGTCTTCATGCAATTTACACAATAGAATTGAACCTAAATTGCAGATAAATGCATCCGGTTTATTTTCTGTTAGTTTGTTTAAAGAATTTTCTGTTAATTCCTGTTCGATCCTGGAATTTAACCAGGCCCTATCCTATGGGTAACATACCTGAATGAACCAATTTTCTTGTAACAACAAATTCATTCCCCTCCCCTTTTATGATGCTACCAATAAACGCCTAAATAATGACATGTCTCTAGTTCAAAATCTGTAGTTCTAATAAGGTCTATTTTGTTTTTATTAGAATTGAATTGAATTAGAAAAGTTTTTTATTCTGTCTCCGTAATGGCTAATGGTGCTGGTTGGTCTAGATTGCACTAGCAGTCTTGATTTAAAACATTGTTGACATAACCAAACTACCCCAGGTTTAAATTAAAATAACTCTTTAACTTTAAATTTGTGGTTCAAATTTAACCAGCAGTAGGCAGTTCAGCGAAGTAGCTCAAATTTATTAATTTTGATCCCAGGCTACAAGACTTAAAGACAAAAGGTAAACAGATTAAAAGAGTCTTGCACTGTAAAATTAAGCGAGCAAAGTTGGATCTTTTTTATATTCGAATCAATATTTTTGTAAATAATATTCATTATTATTGTATTAAAATTTCCCAACAATAGATTTTTTTTAAATTCAAAAATACTGTAACATTTAGAAAAAGATTACTAAACCAAATACATATATATTCAATCTTATTTAATAATTATATACTAGGGGTGGTGAAAAAAAATTCAAGGATTTTGAATCAAACATTCATTATTTTTAAATTTAAGAAAACTGTAATTAATCTAAAATTGGTTTAGCAGATTTATACTCTATAGCTTTGCAGTTGTAAATAACCGCATTATTAAAAATCGTTGTTAATACCAAAATATGATTTAAATCCTTATAAACTTTTTATTATTGTACTTTACAACAAATCTAAATTATATTACTTAGTGGTTATGAGACAAAATAATCATCATTGCAGTATTTGAGACCCCAAGCATTATTGACGACTCATGCTTTTCATCATAGACCCTCAACTTTTCATTGGAGATTTGTAGGTTTTTGTCAGGGACACCCAGATATAAATCAAGTTACTTAGTCATTTACTTTATCCATAATATATTTTTATTATTTACATTTTTTTACAAAACCTGTATTTTACCATGGATAGGACCCAGCCTTTACTTCTGAGCCTCCAATAATGTAGTCATCCCCACTTTAACCCCCCAAACAAATAGAAAATTGATGGAACATAGACTTTCAACTAATCAATCAATCAATATTTTTAGGTCACAGTGAGAAATTTCAACAAGGTAAGAAATAGAATAAAATTATGTGTAGGATGTAGTTACAAGAGCAATTAGTTGATGCTGGTGACTCAAATCAAACTAGATTCTAATTTTGTCAGTGTTCTCCCTGCATTCATCAACTCACAGCATTCAGTCAGTGTTCTCCCAGCATTCAGCTACTCTCTACTGTGCTGCCTAATACCTGCCCCTGTGTGGGCCCCCCAGCAACTAGGGCTAGCTCTACATGCATCAGCTGAAATTACATTATGACAGAAACACCCACCCTGCCTCTTCAATACCTCACAAATATACTCACATGAGCCTGAAATAACAGGTCCTAGCTCTGTTTCAGGTGGCTGTGAGAACTGGAGATTCTGTTAAGCTAAAGCTATGGTTTTTAGAAAAAGAAGAATCCTATACCTTTTCCAGATCCCTGCCCAGCAAGAGGAGAAAGAAGAGAAAGAGAAAGAGAGTTGAAGGAAACATGCCTGTTTTTTTCTGCCAAAAGGGAAAGGAGAGATTAAGGCAGTGCTAGACTGACAGTAATCTCCTGAAAGACATGAGTTCAAAACCACATGTCAATAGTTATGAGATGATAGAAAACAGCAAGAAAGGGGATAAAATGTGTGAAAAAAGAAACAGCAACATAGATAGTTCTGAGAAGACAGGAAACAGCAAGAGTGTCATAGAAATGTATGAAGTTCCATGCGGAAAGGAAGGATGCTGATTTAAGAATTATTTCTGATAGTTTAAAAATCAAGACTTAAAATCCTGAATTCCATGGAAACCAGAAATTTCCAAAAAAAATACAGGGAATAGTGATGGGTTGGGAAAAGACCCTGAGTCTACAGTATAAAAATTGGGATGATGATGAAGAAAAATTCCAGACACAAAGGGAAAATAAAAACTTTCTGGAGTGGCTGGACAGAGAGGAAACCTTGATGAGTGAGAAATAGAGTGGGTGGATCATAATGAAGATCTGAATTACATAGATAGATTAGTGAGTGCTGAGGACAAAGCTGGGAAATTAATGCCTTACTGAGTGATAAGGAGTTTTTAATGGTTTGTTCTAATACAACAAGAAGTGACAGAGTCTTGCTCAATACAAGAAGTGAGTTCTATACTGGAAGTCAAAGTAAGAAAACCAGAAGGCAAGAACTTTGATGATACCAGAAGAGCAAGAATCAGGCCAGAGAAGAATAATTCGAGAAAATAATCCTTATCTATCAGACAATATCCAAGCATGAAGAGACAAGAAGAGAAGAATAAACAGAATTATGCTGATTTTAGAATCATTGTGGAGAGTTTATTGATAAACCAGGGAGAGAGAAAACTAGAAAACAATATTTCCATCATATCAATGGTACAAGAGGATCAGGAACCAGGTCAAAAACTTATATTTCAGAAGAAAGATAATGAGTTATCAGGCAACAGACAAGCCGTGGAACCAAAGAAACAAGAGAATGTGGATAGAACATTAACAGAAACAATAAATGATGTATGAGAATCAGATCATTCCACAGAAGAGAGTAAAAAGACATTTATTCATGAAAACTTATAGTCAGATAAAAAGATAATATAGAAATTCTGCTTTGATTACAGTGTAGAGTAATTGCTTCTTGTTGAAACATACAGGCTAAGACTTTACCTTGGCAATTGGCACAGATCAATTACGAGCTTGTTTGATAGCTACCTTTGTGTCCCTGTGTGGCATTTAGAGCTTGATTAATAGTTTGTTTGATAGCTACGCTTGTGTCCCTGTGTGGAATTTAGAGCTCCAGTAATAGCTTGGTTGTTAGCAATGCATGTGTCCCTGTGTGGCTTTAGATCTCAATTGAAAGCTAGATAGCTATCAGATAGTGCCCAGTGGTAGTGGCATTGATAGTTCACAGGATTGTAGCTGTGTGGACTGTGCCTTGGTTTACTTTGATAACGGATGGGCTGTACCTAGATAGATACGTTTTAAGAACTTGTTATGGAGTAGGTGTTTACTACAATCCTGTTCCTGTCCCTGAGCCTGAACCAGATCATATGAGGGTGCACCTAGCTTTTTCTTTGAAATTGGTAGATATTATGAAAATTATGAAAATGTAATGCTATATCTTGTAATGTAATGTACACTTGTTGAAATATTTAATTGTATTAGCAAAGAATAAATATTTAGATCTTAATTTTTTAACATACAGTTAAACCCTAAATATTGAATACATCAAAAGAACTTAAGAAATGTCGTTTTGACAATTTTTCAATGGGTTTTATAGTATTTTACGTAAATCTCAGTATTTGTGAAAATAAATAAATAGCCATGAATATGCGGGAACAGTTTTAAAGTGCTCCATATAATCATTTAATTAAAAAACTAAATATCTACAACATTCCATTTTCAGAAAGTGAAGAATACGACATTTGATAAATTCTTTCGATGTATTTAATATTTAGGGTTTAACTGTAAATAATATTTATCAGACATTTTTCATTGAAAAACCACATTTTTAAATGTTTTAATAAGGATGCTAAGAAGGCATGAAAAATGTGTGCCTTCTAAGCAACAAACCCCCCTCCTTCTCCCTTTCAACATGTTTCTCATATCAAATTTTCTTTTAACAATTTAGTATGTTAATGTTTTCATTTTCTATTCCTTTGTTCATTGCCATATCCATAACTTCTCCCTCTTCTGGAGAAAACCTACACAAGACAAAGGACAAAATGTAGAACTATTACATTTTATTATGACCAGTGATCACCTAAACACCTTAATAAACAACTGTTAATAGTTAAACTAAAACTTTTTTAACAACCATTTAGCTTTTATTTTGAATTTAAACACTGTATAAACGTATTCTGTAAATTTCTGTAAAAATGTTCTATACAAAAATGCACTCTCAGCTCAATTAGCATGTCTAGCTGGTCACTCCCTTTAAAGATGTGACAAATTATTACCATTTGAACCAGAACAGCTAGTATTAGAGCTCTTCTGCTCCAGCTCATTGCTTAGTAGATTCCTACCTGCAATATATCAAGCTTTAGGCAAATATTAGGGTTTCCATTTTACCGAAACAAAATTTCATTTTTGGAAATGAAATTATCCAGAAATTTGATGTGCAAACCGAAATTTTTCTGGTTTACAGAATGGAAACCGTAACATTTTCAGTTTCCATTTCATAAACTGGAAATTTTGTAAACCTCAAATTTTTCAGGTTTACATAACATAAACCATAAAATTTCTAAATAGTTTCCATTTTTCAAACTGGAAATTTTTGCACAACGTTAGACATAGAAAGCAATGTCAAAACATTAAAAGTTAAAACTTATTAGTTGACATACATTAAATACGCATTTAGTTTTATAAATATATATTCACAAATATTTACTATAGTTCATCATGACTATTTTACAGTTACAGTTTTTACTTTCCTTACAGTATTTTTTGACATATTATTTTTACTTTTCAAGAGGGTCATTGGATAGGCTATGAACCATATAAATAAGAGTTTAAAAATATTCGAACTATAACTGTATTAAACCAGTGGAGGAACACAACACAAGTACTGGATTGGTTTAAGAATCTAGAAAACAAGATAAACTTAGATTCTTCCAGTTTGATATAGTCAGCTTCTATCCTAGTATCTCAGAAACTTTGTTCTTAAATGCTATAGAGTATGCTAAAAGTATTACTGAAATCACCAAAGATGATTGGAAATAATGATTCATTCAAGAAGATCCTTTCTATTTACTGATGAGTCTCCTTGGAAGAAAAAAGATAGTTCAAATTTTGATGTAACCATGGGAAGTTTTGACGGAGCTGAAGTTTGCGAGATGGTAGGACTGTTTTTACTCCAACAATTAGAACAAGTTATACCTAAACAGAATATAGGATTGTACAGAGATGACGGTCTAGCTGTTGTCGAAAACAATGGACCTAAAGTGGAACAGCTGAGGAAAAAAGTTATTCAACTTTTTCAAAGAAACGGACTGAAAGTTAAAATAGAAACAAACATCAGTACTACAAACTTCTTAGATGTTACTCTGGATTTAAAAAATAAAAATTTCAAACCATTTAGAAAAGAAAATGATAAGCCGCAGTACATCAGCAAACATTCTAACCATCCACCTAATATTTAAAAAGAGTTGCCAGAAATGATCAAGAAACGTTTGTCAGAACTTTCTAGCTCCGAGGAGTTGTTTAACTCAGAGGTGACAGAGTATGATAAAGCTTTAAAAGCTGCAGGATATTCAGAGAAACTACAGTAAATATATTCTGACAAACTGAATAACAACCAATCCAATAACAACCGAAGATCTAGGAAAAGAATTAATCTGGTTTAACCCACCATATAATGAGTGTGTATCAAGCAACCTAGCAAAAAACTTCCTGAAACTAATAGATAAACATTTTGGTAAAACTTCTCCAATGAAGAAATACTTCAACAAGAATATTGTGAAAGTTTCCTACAGCTACATGCCTAACATGATCAGCATAATAGCAAGTTACAATAGAAAAATTCTAAATACTCAACACTCAACCCAGATCAAAGGATGTAATTGCAGAGGTGGAACAACAGCATGTCCACTTGACGGTAAATGTTTAACAGAATCTCTGATATACAAAGCAATTGTCAAGACTGGGTGATCAGAAAGCTGAATACATAGAATTGGTGTCAACAGATTTTAAAACAAGATACAACAACCACAACTCGTCATTCTAGAACAGTAAACAGGAAAACAGCACAGGACTCTCTAAACATGTTTGGGATTTAAAGACAGAGAACAAACCCTTTGAAATATCATGGTCCATCGCATCTTTGGCAACCCCTTACAAAAAAGAAACCAACAAGTGTCAACTCTGCTTAACTGAGAAAACGCTTATCATCCTTGCAGATAGAACATTATCATTGAATAAGAGGCACAAAATTATGTCAAAATGTCAACATAAAAACACGATGCTTCTAGTAAATGTAGTGTGATAAGGTATGGTTTTTTTTAACATCATGTTTGTTTAATTGTATGTACCTAAATGTAACATTAATTTGAAAATTAATTTAACATCTTGTTAAAATTCGCGAAACATCTGTGAAAAATTCTCAAATCATTCATATTGATGATTTCATAAAAGCATGCAACAATTTGTTTGTGAATAAAATGTTATAAGAAGATTGTTGCGTTTCAACTGATATAAATAAGGGTTTATAAAGACTAGGCTTTAATTTGGTGAATTAAAAAAAAATATAAGTTTCGAAATTTTTTTCCGCACAAATTTTTAAACCTAGCTTTAAACCTTCACTTGGGCCATGTGAGTTACAAATTTTGGGCTTGGTCGGTTCAGCTGTTTTGACGTTTATTGGATACAAACGGACAAACAAACAGACGAGTAAAGTATATAAATAGAGTGTGAACCAGAAAACTCTGGAATAGGAGGACGACTTTTAGACTTAAGTCATGACTTTAAATAGTTCAATAAACGTTAGACACGGCAATTATGTTATAATGTATGCTATACTGTACACAGAACAATTAAAAAGTGATTTATAAGTTACTATTTAAACTTATCTAAAATCTTTAGAATGAGACATCCTTAATCCCAATTTTTTAATCTGAGTATCCATTGGACATGCAGACGCGTTTTATTTTCTTCTAAATCAGTTCTTTCTTGGATATAGAAGAGAAAAATCAAAAACCGTTTTTTAATTTTGTAATCCCTCCCGTTTTTTGTATATAATCTTAAATGGGGCGCAAAATTTTTTAATTTATCGGCTTCATACATGCAACTCTGATTGGTTGAATTTTATACTCTTTTCAGGATACAAGTACAAAATTAGGTTAGTCTGTTAGATTTCTGTAGATGAAATTATTTTGAGACATGGCAGTCAGGATTTATATTTCATGATAATTCACATTAGTATTACTTTAACTACAACTAAACCAGGCGCACATTCTATTATATTATGTAGATAGTATTACTTACTGGATTTCTCTTTAACATAAGTTTAAGACGTTTTTCCGGAACCAATTTTCCGGGAAAATTCTGGAACGATTTTTCCGTAAACCAGAATTTTCCGATATTCCGCAATGCTTCATAATTCTGGAACAATATTCTGAAACATTCCGTAATTCCGGAACAACTTTTCGGAACCTTTTCCATAATAGAAATGGAAAAAATTTCCGGATCATTTCCTTTTGTAAACCGTTACAATATGTCAATTACAATATGTGGCACAGAGTATTCATTTATATCTTGTTGTTTAAGTCTACAGTGCAGAGTTGAACTGAATGTAGGTTTGCTTGTGTAGTACACTATTTAGACTATTATATGTAAATAGTAGGCAATATCAAGATAATTAAGCAAATGAAGTTCAAGTGTCTCAACGGATGTGTAATCAGACAGAGCCTGTTATTTCTGTAACTTACAATAGTCAATCAGATGACGTCTCCAATTGTGGGCGATATGAATTATCTATCTATCAGATAATAATTATATCGCGAGACATCTAGCAGCCAAACTATCGACCCCCAAAGTTTTTCTTAAGGACAGGCTCTGCCCTACATTATTAGGGAAGGAAAAAGGCCATTTTGGTCATTAAAAGTTTTTAAAGTTTCTCCGCGTTTTTTCCGCGGTTTTATGAAAAAGTTTAATGTTGTGCGGCATTATTTGCAAGCATGCGCAAGTCACAACCCTAGTTTGGATTGAGCGGAGAAAATTATCGTCTTCATACATGTAGATTTTCAATTGAGGACATAAAACAAACTTTTAAGAAATGAGCGTTGCTCCTTTTTTTCAACCTGTTCCTAAACAATAAATTAACTTACTGTAAATGTTTTAAAACATTTTTTGTCGTCGTTATTTATTTATTTTAAATAACGATTCTCAAAATGTATCCACCCAAAAAGATGAATTTGAAAGTCGACTTTGCGATCAAACTCAGTAAACATATGTCATAGAATAGTTTTATATGTCTCAAATAAAATACATTGCCGTCCAAATTGTTTCGAAAAACATTTGAAACCCAAATATCAACTTTTAACAACAATAAAAGTGAAAAAGAAAATTCCTCTGTTACATAGCTACATGAGAAAACTTTACTGTATGGATGGAAAAATATTTCCTAAAGATTGTTTCATTTAAAACTACAATTTCACAAAAGAAGTGTGAAGCACAATCAATATTGCACCAAAAAGTTTATTTTTATCTAACAATAAAATATCAAGTTTTACCAGAGGGACATAAGATATTTCACAAGTTCCAAAGTTTAACTGTGAACCGTTTAAAAATTTAACTTAAAAAATTTGTCTTACCTTTTACAAAACTGATTACAACTAATTCATTCATTTATCTTTAGGGTTATGCAGGTAACTTGATACTAATTAGTTTCAATATTTTTAAACTCTATAAAACTATTTAATATAGATCACATTTTAATTATATTACCTTTCAATAGATTAATATAAATTGTGTCAGAGCGTTAAACTTTTAAATTCATGAATTTGATTCTGAATTCATAATTATATTTTTTTCATCTTTATGAGTGAATAAAAATGCATTTTTACAGAGTAATCAAATTAATTTAAATAAAATAAAATGGAGGTTGTTCAGCCCTCTGTAAGTTTTTTTTTTTTTTGTTATATTTTTGATTGTATGTTTCAGCTTTTGCTTAATGCAACTTGAACTCACAAAAACAAAAATAAAAAAAATAAAAAATTTAAATTTTTTTTCTTTGACAAACTGAACAATGTCGTTGATTAAAATGTTGAATAATGTTTGAACATTATAAAATTAAAATAATTAAAATTATTCAAAATCTTGATTTAGATTAACAAAAATACTAAAATTTCATATGCTTTTATTTTTCTTTAAAAACCATATTTGCCTACAGAATTGTTTTCGTGTGAAATATCCATTACTTTCCTTCAGGGGTTAAACATATGCTGCAAACAATTGTCCATTCTTCTTGAATAGAACTTTATTTTTTTTATTCGGTCTTGCTGATGAACGTACTTTGTTGGTCTGGTGGGTTGGTAGGGATTTCTTAGGGCCAGCCCTCAAAGGTATAATTGGTTGGGTAGGTGTAATACTTCTAATAGGTTCCAGAGGTCTACCAGGTCTTGGAGGATATAAAGGTTTAATGGGTTTTGCTGGATTAAGAGGTTTAGTTAATCCAGTGACTGAGGGAACTTTAGGTTGGGAAACTAGCCCCTGCATAGGATTACCAAACTAAAAAAATCTGGAATGAAACTGGAGAGGGGGTGCAGGAGGGTGGAACCCCCGGCAATTTTCTTCTTTTAAGGAATTTAGCAAATTGAGAGTAAGTATTTAAGTACTCAAAATAGCAAATTACTCTTAAAACATGTAAAAATATTGCAATCTTAGAACTGTACTTTTAAATTTTTTACTGAGGCATATCAGGCAAGAAAATTATTGACATATAAAAGAAGCAAATTAAGTCGAGGATATCTCATTAAAAAAAAAACTCTTATATCAAATAATATGATTTAGGGGTGTGCATGTTTGTGACAAATCACTAGTAAAAGCAAAATCAAACTTTTATATGTATTTTGACACGGGTGTCACCCAGCGGAGTTCAAAAATATTAAAAATTGGGCAAGCTATGGTCAAAAAAAGTTTTTTCTCTATAAATGTTTCAGGTATTAAAAATGTGTTTTTTGTTTTAAACCATTCAATTTTTTATATTTTATATTCTGTAATTTGATTTACATTCGTAAAAACACCCAGTGTTAAAAATACCTATGTACTGAATATCTGTTTAAAACTTCATTATAATATATATTCTTGTATTTTGTATTTTTTATCATTACAACCCAATTCAGGGAGTTCTCGATTTTTGTAAAAATTGCATTTTTAAAACATGACAATTCACTATGCATTATACAATCCAGTTCATTTTATGTACCGGGCCAAGCAAGAGCAAGCTGTACCAGTACAAATACAGACTATAATAAGGCAAAACAAGACAGTACATCCTCTTCTAGTGAAATGTCTGTGAATTAGAATTCCAAGTAGAATACAATTTTTCTTCCATAAAATGATTTCTGAAAAATGGCACACCCCCTAAATGTTTTGGTGTCGCTGTATTGTTACTAAAAACTATAAATCATAATAAACTTAAGTTTTAAGATAACAAATTCAATTAATTACATTTACAGCGTTGGTTAAAATTAAAAATCTATCAGATCGATGAAAAGTAAAACTATCATGATTTATCAATGAATTACGAAATGTTTTGTTAAAGCACTCCAAAGTATCTGCACTCAAAAACAATTACATTAAAACAGTAAACTTTTAAGTTAGTCTCTAGAAAATGGGGGGGGTTACTCTTGCCCCCCCTCCTCCTTTTCAAAAGGAAATGTCTTCAACCCCTTGACTCCCCCGCCTGGGTTGTACAATTTTTAGCTTTATAGTCTGAATAAACAATCTATTCTGATGTATCTACTACTAGTGTAGAAATGCATGTTGGTGTCTAGAAATATGGGAAATCCATTTTTAGGCATTTAACCTTTTCTATTGGTACCCAATTTTAGACTTTGAAAACATATTTTTTAAATTCATATATTTTAAATTATGCCATTTGCAGGAGGAAAAAATAGTTTTTAACTCTTTTTCATATAATTAGGGAATTTATGGGTTTTAACCCTAAAAAGGCTGGGGGGTCTACATCAATGTATGGCCTAGAAAAAGGCCTTAGAGAATAGGTATAGGGTTGAAATGCATGTTCATAGACCCTATTTTTCAAGGTCAGCTCATAGAAAAAAAACTAGACCGACAAATAATAGTTTGGGTGCTAGGGAGGGTTGAAAAATTGCCTAAAAATGGTCAAAAAAGTGAGAAAAAAAACGTTTTTGTTGTTTTAAACAAATATCAAAGTGTGACACATGTTTTCAAGGGCTGTTTATAGTATTTAGAACTGTAGCTTTAGTCACAAAAAAGTTATGAGCTATTTTAGATTCTTTTTCACAGACCAGACTGTATCCTATAGTGTCAAAAATGAGAGTGCTAGGACAAAAAAACTACAGGGGGGGGCCAAACGCCCCCCCACCCCCAGCCTGTTTAGAGTTATAGAAAATTTTGGCTTTTTAGACTTAAATTTACAAAAAAAAAGCTTTGTAATTTTTTGCAATTTGAACTTAAAATTTAAAATTACGAAGAATTTGATCTAAAAAATATGTTATTTAAGAATTTTGTATCTTATTTTACCTGCAAATTGTCTCTCACCCATTTTCCTAGTTTGACATTTTAAACCAATGGTATAAGTTGTATGGGCAGATGTTTTACAAAACCAACCAATGAAGAATGAGTAAAATGTTTTGGATTTATCCTCTTGGAATACCACTAGAACAATAAAGATGGATATATGCTTATATATTGCTGGATGTTTGGCCAAAGTTGGGAACTTTTGTTGTGGATACCCATAATCCCAATTGCTTGATTTTGTTATCCTCTGTGGGCACTTTTAATTTGAGGATCAATGCTTCATCAATTGGTTTTATTTATCCCTTCAGGGTAGAATTACACTGCAGATATTGAAAAAAGACTAAATAAATCAAAATCCACAATGTAAGAGTGCCCAACTCGGAAATCCATTGTGTAAGAGTACACAACTCGGAAATCAAAGAGTGTTTTGTGATAAAGTTTAAAATGTTTTCCTAGGATACGAAGATCTGTATATAATGAATTCTGATCAACAGCACATTTGGCTTGTCCTATACTTGTAAGTCCAACCTCGCAATCAAAAATTCAGAAAAAAATGAACTCATGGTTTATATAGCCCACTTTAGATATTTTTAAAACTATTTATTCATTTTCTGTCAAGTCAATCTCCCTTTAAAGTTTATAAAATACGTATTTTCACAAAACCTGACATTTTTTTTGTATTGCATCAAACTGATTGAAATTATTTTGAAATGATAAGTGTTTTGTTCAAAATAAAAATATCAATTAAATTAATGAAAATCTGTTTTCATACATTTAAAGGGAGTGTTTGTGAAGAATGGAAGGGGGTACTTCTATCTGTTGCAGCTATAAGGAGAAATTTTTTAAAAACGACTCATACTGAAGAATGCAGCAGCCATAAAAATTAGAAAGTTGCAGTATTCAACTTGGAACGTGAAATATCAATTTGATTTTAAGCAAATAATTTAGATATTGCAACATAAAATCATCAATTTTTTTGACACATTCATGTATAGTTGGTACTTCAAAATATTTTTTTATTTTTCTATTTTTAAATTAATATTTTGCTTACAACTTGTTTTCACGGCTGGTGCTGGATTTTCGGACATTCTTGGAAAATATAAATATGTCGTCTTCATCATCAAATATCATTGAATCCGGAATGAATGTTTTTAAAAGTAACTTTCAGATCAGAAAAATAAAAATATTATGAAATTCTAACTATGTACAAATGCATCGAAAAAAAGTCAATGATTTTAGGTTGTAACATTTGAATGATTTGTTAGGAATCAAATTGATTTTTTTACAATCCGAGTCGTATGTTGCAGCTTTCTGAATTTGTATGAACGCTAAGTTCTTTGGTATGAGTCATTCTTAGACACAACAGATAGAAGTAAGAATAGTAGCCATCACCATCAAATATTTTTTGCGAACACTCCCTGTATTTTACTACCAAGATGCATAATTTAAAAGTGTATGCTCTAAACATCTTTAGATAGAATTAAAGCTTTAAGAGCCTGAAATATTTGAAAAAGAAAAATTTGGCTAAACCCAATTTTTTAACTTAGAATGGGTTTGGTTTGGTTTACCTCTTCTATTCTTGTAATGCAAACAAACTTGTATAACTTACAATTTTAAGGTATGTAAAACTCCCAAATATAAAAGCATGTTCAAAACGAAAAAAAAACCTTTAAAAATCTTTAGACATATGTATAGTATGGGTAAAATTTGCAATTTCAAAAAATATAAATTTCTGGCTGGTACACTGTTAGAAAATTTAGAGCATTTGTTAAAATGTTGAACAATTTCTTTTAAATTTTAGAAATGCTTTCAGCAAGGTTGACATTTTTATTCTCATAGTGTGCAATTTTTAGATTGGTATTAATTTTTAAAAAAAGAAATACCTGAAAATATTTCCCATTTTCAAAGATGACTACTGGACTACCAGAATCACCTTTAAAATTGTATTCAAATTGCATAGACTTGTTATTCTTCCATTTTAAATAGTTGGATTATTGGGCACATTTATTGCATCCTTGCTTCTTAAACATTTGTTGGCTTTCAAGGAAGAAATCTGATCAAATTCTGTTGTTCAATGAAGGATGCAAATTGCAGAAATCATTTTGTACACAATTTGCATGAAAGTATTTAAGCATGCAATATCACACAAAATGTTTGGGCAATTTATCCACAAAAAGTTTGGGAAATTTACACACAAAAAGTTTGTGCATTATGTGTGTAAAAATTATAGATTTAAAAACTGACTAATTTAAAAAATTAAACATACCACTGCATGTATCCTTGTTTGGAGTTCTGGTACAAAAAGCAGTTTCCTATTATTATTCAATAGTTTCAATATTTTTGTTTAACACTTTTGAACCCAAAATTTATAAATTAGTAAAATTTCTCTAATTAAAATATGTTATCTAAAATTATTATGGCAGTACGTTCTGTAATGATAATAAGCAAACAAATATGGTAGAGTGTTAATTTTTTCTGGATCAATTTGTTTCTGGAAAGGCTTTACAGAACCTTTTCTAAAGCTGAAAGAATGATAAACCAGTAAAGACCACACAGAGCTGGTGTGACACACAGAAAAAAAGTGTACAGGACAATTATTCCATCTAAAATTGGTCCGGAATATTGATCCTGTAAACTTTTTTTCAGCATGTCACACCTAGCTTTATGAAGCATCTAGAGGTATAGATTATTCTTAATTTGGTTAAGAAACGTTCCACCCTTGATTTCTAAACAGCTTCATAAAACGTTCTGCCCTTGATTTCTAAACAGCTTCATGAAACGTTCCGCCCATCGAGATATTAGTAATAGAGGGGGCATCTGGAATTTTAGACTTCTTGTTGTACAGCCACTGTACACAATGACCCGATCAGAAATTCTACCTGGGGGGATCATAATTCGTAGATCAGTTTTGAAAGTTATTGTTTGAAAGTGAAGACTTAGTGAACATTTTGACAAAAATTGTTATAGAAACAAAGATAGCAAAATACTCAGAGTCAGAAATGATCCAGTTCCCTCGATATTTAGAATGGGTTGTGTGAATATTGTAGGCTTCACTTTCAAACAATAATGTCTTCAAACACTGATCTACGAATTATGATCCCCCAGGTAGAATTTCTGATCGGGTCATTGTGTACAGTGGCTGTACAACAAGAAGTCTAAAATTCCAGATGCCCCCTCTATTACTAATATCTCGATGGTTATGCCCGCCCCCTGGTTCCGCCCTTGATTTCTAAACAGCTTCATAAAACGTTCCGCCCTTGATTTCTGCATGGAAATTGTCAAGGAAAATTGGGAACTCCAGGATTTCAATTATTCATTTTCTTTCTCACCGTAACTAGTTGCTTCTCAGAAATTGTGCATGGTGAAACAAGCAGATCCACCTTAAGGATTTAAATTAATTCATTTTATAGTTATTTTTTCAAATAAAAGGGCAATATTTGGACCCTGCTCAATATCATCTAAAAGCTAAAATGTTTGACAGGTATGGGGTAGTAAGGAGTTCATAATGTTTCCAAAACTTGAAGATTTTATTCTGTAGAAGTTTGCTATTACCAAACATGCAAATTTGTTACCCTTCAAGAAAATATAAGGCAAAAACTATCGTTTTTGGGTTTTTAAAACCATAGTTTATATTTTCCCTAAGATAACATATTTGAATGTTTGATAAAAGCAAACTTCTACAGAATACAATTTCAAATCATTGGACCCTTCCCAGTTTGTTGTAAAACCTTTTAAAAGTCTAAAAATATCAAAAGTTTCTGTAAAACGATTCTAGCTATTGCCCCATGCCCATTTCTATCCAGACCATGGTTTTGCCTGTCTAGGGGGTCTATGGGATCATCCCCATACAAAAGCAAAATTAAAGCAAACTGAGAAGTATTTTTTCAAATAATTGTCTTCAGTTTGACCTACCACTGTTTGTCATTGGTTAGGTTAGGCATAGTAATAATATTCACCTCTTGTAACAGTTTAGATCCTCCTTTTATATCATATGCTATTCTACCCCATCCTAGGGCTCTCACAGTTGTTCCTGTTGGTAGCTAAATAAAACCCAAGGTTGGAACTTATAAATTGTTAATCCTTTTTTTGATCTTTTCTCATTTGCTGCAGATTAAGATCATTTTTCTGATCATCTTTAAATTTACAAGTAAGTTGATGAGCATTAATACACTTCAATTTAAGAGTTTCTTCTTTGAATATGAAGTTCTGTTAATCAGCTAGCCAAATTGCGCAAAAAGAGGGTGATTTAAACGTCACTTTTGGCATTTTTACGTAAATATTGCTTAGAGATGTTGGCTCTCTTTACATCATGAGAGACGTAAAATCGTACACCATTTTTATGCAATTTGTATGCCTGTAAAAAAAATAATCCACTATTTCATGATATTTTTACTTATTGCTGGGTTATAAAATATTTTCTTTAGAAAAATTAGATATTTACACTAATTTGAAATCTATAGTTACGCAAATTTGCGCTGTAATTGAGTCATTAGAGCCGAAACCATATGCGTTTATGCTGCTTACGCAATTTGGATAGCTTGGTAATGTACATCATAAAAAAGCATCTCTATAGACTAGAAGAATTTGTAAAAAATAAAAAACTATGAAAAAATAAATAAAGACAGTTAAACCCTAAATAAGCCATACATCGAAAGAATTCATCAAATGTTGTAATCTTTACTTTCTGATAATGGAACATGCAGATATTTAGTTTTTTAATTAAATGATTATATGGAGCTCTTTAAAAAAATTTCACACATATTCATGGCTATTTATTTATACTGAGATTTACATAAAATAGAATAAAACCCATTGAAAAATTGACAAGACGACATTTGAAAAATTCTTTCGATGTATGGCTCATTTACCTGAAATTCAGGGTTAATAAGGGGAATTGGAAAAGCTGTAAGGACCTTTTCCCTAAAATTAAAGAAATTCAATTTTACCAAAGTATATCACTGTGGTTTGGATGAAAAGAACTTTTAAAGGCCGCCTACCAATCTTATTAAATTTTATGAAACTATTGAGTACTTTATTATTCTTCCTCACTTCATCTTGAATTTTATAATGACCTTGCTATAAAGTATAATCTATATAATGCTAAAAGGTTTAGTTAGCTGTACATTATAGCACATGTGCTAGAAAGTTTTGATTAGTTCCTGGATTTTCTCCAAATAATTTAGGATATATTTTCAAAATTTTTTTTTTACAATTGAAATGAAAATAAAATTGATATCAACTTTATATTTTGACTTTTGCTTTGTTTCAAAGCTTATCTGATCCAGAAATAGCCATTGAAATAAGACAAGTACACAAACGTTTCATAAAATTACCTAAAGCTCGGGACTAAATTAAATCTAAAAAAGCTTGAACCTTCTTGATAAAGAGAAAATTTCTAAAAAACTTTATAACACTGGGAACCAAAATACCAGTGTTATAAATATTGCTTCCATGTTCACAGTGTAGTTACACCAAACATACTGGCACATTGTTACATACAATAACCTGCAATTACGTGCAAAAAAGAAAGAAATGTGGAACTTTAATTTAAAGCCTAAAAAAATGTTCAAAAGACTTAAAAGAATAAAACCCTCACCACAAAAAAAGAGGCAAACACATTACAAAAAATCTTACTTCAGATAGAGCAGCGAAATATCATAACTTGCATAATGCACTTTTTTGTTTCTATCAAACCCTTAATATAATTAATAATAATTATCTAAATAAGGAAAAAAACTTTTCCTTTTTGTGTTAAACTTCCCAAAAACAACCTGCAACAGGCTTTAAGGTATCCAAGTTTTGAGGATAAGTCAGGCTATGGCTCCATGCATTACAGCTAGGATAAGCTAGGGGGCTGAGCGCTCCCACAATAATATGCTAAGGGGCTGAGCACTCCCACAATAATATGCTGGGGGCTGAGCACTCCCACAATAATATGCTAGGGGGCTGAGCACTCCCACAATAATATGCTGGGGGGCTGAGTGCTCCCACAATAATATGCTAGGGGGCTGAGCACTCCCACAATAATATGCTAGGGGGCAGAGTGCTCCCACAATAATATGCTAGGGGGTAGAGTGCTCCCACAATAATATGCTAGGGGGCAGAGTGTTTTATAAGGTTGAAAAACCAGAGTTCACCTTGGTGCCATCAAAAATATTTTTTTCTCTAATTATAACCTGGATGGTTGAGTTTTAGGCTAACAATGTACTCTTGCCCCTCTTTTTTTATATTGCTTCCAATATAGGCCTAAATACACAAATATTAACCTACAAAAAAATCAAAGTGATTTCCAGCTGGAAATTTATTTTGCTGTAAAATCTAGTATTTTTACCTTTATATCTTCATTCTTGTCCGTACAATGGGCTGCAGTGAGAACAACATGTCTGAAAAATTTAGAATAAATGTAAGACCACAAGGGCTGGGCAAGTTCCCATTTTTTTTTTAATCATTCAAGTTGTTTCATTCATGCCCCTGAAAGAATGGTTTACTCTAGCTCTTGAGCTGGGTGTATTCCTATTTTTAAAATTGTTTATTCTGTTCCATTCTGCTCCATTCCATTCATATTTGTGAAAGAATTAATGATCCCTAGGAACGACGCCATGCCCTAATAATCACCAGTGGTGTTAGGAAACACAGTATGCATAATAAAGATATGGAAACTTTCTAAACTAATTGCATGTTTTTGATATAAAAACCAATCTAGACATCTGATTTAAATTGTGTTTCATATATTTGATGTATGTGAATAGATTAAACATATTTCATCAAATATGACTTCCTTCAACCTCATGTACGTTCTCCACCTCTAAATTTCCCACACAAAGCCCTCATCCAGTCCTTCTGAAGGAATCCTTCCTCAAACCATCCTCGGAGACAGTAGCAGTGATTACCAACTAAATGATCATGCTGCAGGCCTTAATATTGACTTGAACTAAGACAAAAATGTATTCTTTCTTTATTATTTTTGAGTTCAAAATCTTATAGGAACACCTAGCTCTTGATGGTTTCCTGTAAAAATACAGATTTTGGGAACTGCTTTTTCAAAAAAGTTCTTTAGCAAACAAAATATTCCTAAACAAGTTCCGGTTGGTCCCTCTAGACATCTTGTGGTCCCCAGCCAGATGGCTATTGGTCCACTCTGTGTTGACCTTAATCTTGGCTGTACCCTTTCCTCACAGGTCCCCAGAGTTAGTTGATCTTGGTCCGCCAGGACAATTATGTGGTTTAATATCCCTGCCACCATCCGGTACAGTGTTAAAAGTTTTAACAGCATCATCCACTGCGATAATGGCCTTTTAGACAGAGAGTTATGTCCTTAATACTTGGTCTCCTCTTTTCATTAATTTCAAGATCAATTTAATCTTTAGTTTGTAACCTGAAAACTGTATAAAATTTAATTGGTCAGAACCTGTATATGGATACCCAAAAAAAGAGAAAAAAGCGAATTAAACAGAAAATTAAAAGTGTCCACATTGGATAATCAGATTAAGCGACCAGGATTAAGGGTATTAAACTCTAAAGTTCCCAGTACTGCTTTAACTTGCTTACCTTGAAATTAAAGAACCTCCACACTGTTGCTTGCCTCCTATTAATAGATAAACCATCCTTAAATAATCATGTGTTTATGTAAAGAAGTGTATTAATCATTTACAACTACTTAACAAGGAAGTTAAAGAAGTTTACTTAATAAATTTTACTTAATACAGGGTTACATAAGCCAATTTTGCCTACAAAACATCAAGATCGCTGCAAGTGATGTTTTGCAGGCAAAATTGGTTAAAAAACTGGGACAGTACCCAAATGAATCATCCATTTCTGGGAGGTTAATGTGCTGGGACTGAGGTATATCTATCACGTACCATGGATATGCGTTGGATAAAGCATCATTTCCTCCCACAATATAATCATCGCCAGAGTATCCTCTCGGCTCCTCCCTCTTTTGTTTTGAACAAGCCTGAAAGGGACCGTAAATGTAAATTAAGTGACACACGACAACTTCCCAAGGGTATTTTCCCAAGCTGCAACTTCCCAAGGGTATTTTTCCAAGCTGCAACTCCCAAGGGTATTTTCCCAAGCTGCAACTCCCAAGGGTATTTTTCCAAGCTGCAACTTCCCAAGGGTATTTTCCCAAGCTGCAACTCCCAAGGGTATTTTCCCAAGCTGCAACTCCCAAGGGTATTTTCCCAAGCTGCAACTTCTCAAGGGTGTTTTCCCAAGCTGCAACTTCCCAAGGGTATTTTCCCAAGCTGCAACTCCCAAGGGTATTTTCCCAAGCTGCAACTTCCCATGTGTATTTTCCCAAGCTGCAACTCCCAAGGGTATTTTCCAAAGCTGCAACTATTTTACTCTTGGGAAGAAACTGTAAGTGTAATTTCATGTGCCCTTCCCTACAAAGATGGCAATGCCCGATTCACAACGGTACTCTTAAAAGCTTTGTCTGATCAAGTGTGAATTAATTATGCATGTTTTTGTTTATTTTCATATGTGGTTTCTCTGCAAACATGACTTGCGAATTTCTTTTTTATAAGAAACAATTGAGAAATTTACAGAAATAAACACTTTTTGAGTCAGAAAACATGTTATCTTCCACATTTTCGATTAGATTAAAGTTCAAGGGTACCTTTGTAATTTAGGCATTGCTTTCTTTGCATGGATGGTCACTCAAAATTACGCTAAATCCAATTCCTCAAATTATTCAAAAATTAAATTCAATATCTGTATTTACAGTGTAATATTGTTTCTAAGGATAGAGGTTAGGATGTACTTTTTCTAAATAGCTTAGTTGCATCCAAATAGATTATCAAGTACAATAGATGGCAATGTAGAATTTGTACACTCTCAGACCTCAGTACAGCTATATTCTTTAGTCACAAGCTGTCAACTGAGTTTTTGTGTCAAACAAAACTATTAATAATTTTAGACTTAGTGCCTATCTTACAGTGAAAAAAGTGCATTCTTATGTGTTCTTTATTTGCTGTTTAAAACTTTTTTATCTAAACTTGGAAAACATGTCAACTAATAGGAGAATGTGTTGTTTTCCTTGTAATATTTGACACTTGTGACGTCATGTATAATTGGTCCATTTCTCTGTTGCCACCAATTGTTCTTGATAATCTATTAGGTTGCATCCACTGCAAACCAAGATGTGCAAGCTCTCACACATTGAGCAGTATTTTGCCCATTATTCCCTTTAAACTTTTGTACTTCTGAAATGTATATGTGTATGAAATGTATATGACACTTGTGACGTCATGTATAATTGGTATCTTAGTGCATCGTAGAGACAAGTTTAAATGCATTTTCCAATAGCTATGTGTTAAAAACTATACTTTTGATAAATAGTATTTTTCTTATTCTCCCCCTACAATATATATCAGTATACAAATGCTAGATTCAACCGTTTAAACCCAATCAGTATTACCCCACACTGTATTTACACCCGCCAAAACCAAACTTATGCATATTTCTGATAAAAAAGGCAGTTTAACTTCCTTGTGAGATGACTTATTTCTCCATAAGGAAGTCCAAAGTACAATAAGAGTTTCCGGCAACCAAAAACTTCACGAAAAATAAACTCACAAAGAAGTATTGTATAGCTTCAACAATTAATTGTGCAAAAATAGTAAAAGCTTAGCATTAGAAATTTTATTATGTCATAAATAATAATTTCTCCAGGGGCGTACGAAGGGGGGCGAGCCCCCCGGCCCCCCCCCTACGCGTGCCCCTTTCCACTCTTTTAATATTACATCTGCTTGAATTTCCCTTCCTCAGGCAATCTACATTCTACATTGCATTGCATTGCACTCACCCAAACTAAAAGAAAAAAATATATTCTGATTCACAAGAATACCCTTCAAAGCTTTGTCTGATCAAGTATTGCATTAAACATCCATGTTTCCCATTTTTTAATTTGTGGTTAATCTACAAAAGTGACTTGCTCATATTTTGCTTCAGAAACAATGGAGAAATGAAGGTTTCAAAGGTACAGGGTGTCCCAATAAACATGGTAATATATATACAGGGTGTCCCAATAAACATGGTAATTCAGTAACGAATTCGATATAGTCTTTTTAAATAATTCTTTGATTTAGTATAGTGATTCCTAATGAGAAAGCTATAACCTGTAAGAGTTTCGTCTGCTATGTTCACATTTTGTTTGTTTATGTTCTGACTGCATATGGTTGGACTTAGTAAAACAAGCAAATTGCAGTATACAAACTTGTCCGTCTTCACTGTTCATCTTGCGGAGACATTATAGACACATCTTTACAGCCATTTATCGTTTTCTTAAAATAAACTCTCGCAGACATTATGATATTATGGCTTTTGCAATTAGGTATTACAATGCTAATTCATAAAAAAAGACGAAATCGAATTCGTCACTGAATTCCCATGTTTTTTGGGACACCCTGTCTATTGGACAAGTAACTCTATAAATGGAGGGTCACTTGAAAATATGCATGTATTCCATTTAAGTATAATTACATTGTATAAAAAAGAAATACTTTAAAACCTCACTTTTGCCTTAAACTAAAAGAGTTTTGATATAAAAGCTTTAATGAATACTGCCTTCAGTGTAAATACATATTTGATATCATAATTTATAATGCAATATGTATCGATCCTCTGAAAATATAGATATTATTTTAGAAACGTTTCCATCTCTATTTTCCATCCCTTGAAGCTTACACCCCAGTATTAAGAGGGATTATATGAGGTAGTCCACTTAAGAAAATTACATAAATATTTATAAACAGGCTTGTAATATGTAATATGTAATATGGAAGTGTGTATATGATCGACTAATTTATATAGTTAAAAAAGGTGTCAATATTTTTTAAAAACAGGGGTTTTTAATGGGGGGGGCACAATGTTGCCAAGGGGGGAGCACAAAATCTGCCCCCCTCCCCTACTCAAATGCTCTCGTACGCCCCTGAATTTCTCTTCCTTTACTTTAATAAATGTTTGATGAAGAGAATTTTTTCACAAATTTTTCACAATTTTTTTTCGCGCAGTCTTCGCATTTCTTATTTCTCGAAAATTTCGCATTCTTACGCAAAACAGATTAAAGCAAAATTTTATATGCAAAATTTTCGCGAAACAATCTCCCTTTTTCACTGGAAACCCTGGTACACTGCTGGAAACCCTGGTACACTGCTGGAAACCCTGGTACACTGCTGGAAACCCTGGTACACTGCTGGAAACCCTGGTACACTGCTGGAAACCCTGGTACACTGCTGGAAACCCTGGTACACTGCTGGAAACCCTTGTACACTGCTGGAAACCCTGGTGCACTGCTTAACATTCTTAAACCCTGGTACACTGCTTAACATTCTTAAAAAGGAAGAAAGGTTGAGTTCTAAGGAAGTTAGGGACAGTGAACAGTATCGTGAACTTTAAGTAAAAATACTGTCAAATATTGTCCTTTCTTTTCACTCCTGTATGCCGAGTTCATTAGCGCCTGATCCAATCAGGGTTCAGTTATGTGTTTGTTGTCTATTCTGAATTCCAATAGTATGGCGGTAACATCTATCTTTCTATCTATTCATCATCCAATTAGAGATAAATCCTTATACAGGCGCTATACCAGTAAATGGATATATTTACTTCTACGTAAAAGCAGGTTGACAAATGTCAAATGAATGTTACAAATAAATTCAAAGTTCTAAGATGACTTTCAAATCCTTCCTTTACACAAGGATTTTTCTTCGTGGTTTGTTTCTCTTCATTTCACAGTTATTTTTTTGACACCATCACTGTAATTTTTTTTTAAATAAATAAAAATTGAAATTTTTTTTTTGTAAATTTAAGAACAGGGCGGTAAAGTCCGGTCTGTTTAAAAAAATAAAAAATAGCCCATAACTTTTTTATGACTGTTTTCGTCATAAAAACTATATTTTTATAAAAGCCCTTAAAAAATGGATGTAGAAACAAGTGTTAAACTTTGATATTTGTTTTAAACAAAAAAAATATTTTTAGCATTTTCCCCCCTGTTTTTGGCATTTCTTCAACCCTTCCTAGCACCCAAACTATAATAGTTATTGATCTAATTTTTTTTCAATGAGCGGGCCTTGAAAAGATAGTCTGTGAGCACGCATTTCAGCCCTATACCTATTCTCTCAGGCCTTTTCCTAAGGGGGAGGGGGGGGGGCGTGGGAGGCCCTTCCCCCTTATATACATAGATTCATTCCCCCCAGCCTTTATAGGATTAATAAAACATATAGAACAGATTTGATACTTACATTATCTCCGAACTTGAAGAGAACTGCCAGTATAACCAGATTTCTCCAGTTCATAACAGGACTGCTCATTTTATTTGGAAATATCGTCTTCAATTAGGGATTGCTACAGTATTAACCAAAAACTCCGGAATAAAAAGACGACTTTTTGACAAAAATCACTTTAAATAGGCCAATGAGCATTGGACATTGCTATTTTGTAGTGTAAAAGACCCATTTCACTTAAATAGTAATTTAACAAGTGTCTAGTGAAAGGATTTGCTTTGTAACACAATAAAATAAAAGTATTGTTTTAAAGTCGTCTTCCTATTTCTTAGTTTTCTAGTTATCAGTGTACGTAATTAGTTCAAAGCTAAGAAAAATAATATTAAAACAAATAACTCGAAAGTCTTTTTTTTATAAGTTTGCTTCAATATTGAAATATGGTCCTTAATATTGAAATATGGTCTTTTATATTGAAATATAGTCCAATTAATATTGAAATAATTATTATAATATCTTGGAAGCCAGAAATGTGCAAGTCCCTTTCATAAAGAAACCGCAAATGAACATAAACAGTTTAAATAAACAAAAACATGGATTTCATAATCCATACTTCGTCAGACACGGTTTACAATGGTACCGTTGTAAATCGAGCATTGCCATCTTTGCATGGAGGGTCACTTGAAATTACGCTTACAGTACCTTAGGCTTCGGAAATATTCCCAAATAACACAATTTTTTACGCATCCCTGACTATATAGTGTATTAAGTCTACCCCTAAGGTACAGTAATCTGAAACTGATTGAATATTATAAATATTTAAAGTGTCAAATATATAATATTACAAGTCTTAATAACAATAAAATATTTGTACATTTGTTTAGATGTTTCTTTGAAATATGAACTTTTCAAACAATTAAATTATTTTTTTTTAAAGTTAATATGAAACTTCAAATAGTTTCCAAAATTTTTAGAAATTTTTAATCTTTATATAGTTCGGTCGGTATTATATGGTTTTCAATCCATATCATTTCAGAAAGAGAATTTCAAGTGATCCATAAACAATCCATTAACGATCCATAAAAGATCCATAAACAATCCATTAACAATCCATAAACGATCCATAAACAATCCATAAACGATCTATTATCGATCCATAAACGATTCATAAACAATCCATAAACAATCCATAAACGATCCATAAACAATCCATAAACAATCCATAAACGATCTATAATCGATCCATAAACGATCCATAATCGATCCATAAACAATCCATAAATTATCCATAAACGATTCATAAACAATCCATAAACGATCCAGAAACAAACCATTAACGATCCATAAACAATCCATAAACGATCCATAAACGATCCATAAACAATCCATAAATGATCCATAAACGATCCATAAACAATCTATAAATGATAAATAAATGATTAATAAACGATCTACAAACAATTCATAAACGATCCATAAACAATCCATAAACGATCCATAAACGATCCATAAACAATCCATAAACGATCCATAAACGATCCATAAACAATCCATAAACGATCCATAAAAGATCCATAAACAATCCATAAACGATCAATAAATGATCAATAAACGATCCACTAACGATCCATAAACGATCCATAAACGATCTATAAATGATCAATAAACGATCTATAAACGACAAATTAACGCAACAAGATGAATCTCACTATTGCATAAAACACTGTTCAAACTAGAAAAGTTACAATGTCTTTAACAATATTGATAAAAAAGGGCTACCGTTCTAAATCTTTTAAATTGAGGGTCACTTTACATTACGATAACAGTCCCTTTAATAAATTGATCCATAAAACAGTGCCTTGAGCTGCACAGCCTTGAACTGCACAGCCTTGAGCTGCACAGCGAAAGAAAAACAACAAAGCAATAAGACATTGATGTTTGAATTTGCATGGAAATCTAGAACTAAGTCTCAAATGTTAATTATTAGATTAATTTGTAAACTGTATACATGTTTAAACTCTGTCAACAAATCAACAAAATCAATATCTATCAATATATATATATACATATATACCAGCCGAAGTGCCCAGCGTTGCCCGTGGAATTTTTCAAAATCAAGTTTTTTTAGTTAGTTTTTTTGAAAAAAAAATTTCGATTTTTAAAGATAAGAAAATTTCCATTAAAAAAATTGATAATTTTTAAGCCTATGTCATGTCATGGCTACCCGGGAGTGTCCACAACAAATGTCAGCCGTTTGGTTAGCCAGAGGGAAAATATAATGTCTTGTTTTATTAAATAGATATATTGATAGATATTGATTTTGTTGATATTGTATCTAATTCAATTCTTTGCAAATTAAAACAGAAATAAATTTTACAAAAATCTGTTTTTACAATGTTCAATGTGGCGCCCCCTATATTGTTTTGTCCTAACACTTTCATTTTTGACACTATCCCCGTAAAATTTTGTACTTTTAATGAATAGTAATTTAAAGGATTTTTTGTAAAAACATTTGTTTTTTAATGCATAGGGAAGGGTACAGGGCGGTAAAAAGTCCGGTCTGTGTAAAAAATGGATGTAGAAACATGGGTCACACTTTGTTATCTGTTCTAAAAAAAGTATTTTTTTTTACATTTTTTGAGCCTTTTTTTGGCAGTTTTTCAACCCTCCCTAGCGCCCAAACTATTAAAGTTATCGGTCTAATTTTTTTATTGAGCTGGCCTTGAAAAATTGGGCGTTGAATATACATTTTAATCCTCATTAGGGCCTTTTATAAGGGGGGGGGGCGTTGGGCAGTTTCCCAAGGAAGTTACGTGCACTTGCAGCGTTGAATTACAAGAAAGAGAGAGATTATTAAATATTTCAGGGTTAGGTTAGGTTGAGACTCTTGCTGTGCCGATCGCTGCGGCTAGGACAGCGTGGCTAGAACAGGCTCTTATTCTGTCTTGTAATGTAACGCGGCATGCGTACATAACTTCCTTTGGCCTCTGTCTCCTTATTGTGCAATTACCCATCCTCAACCAATGTATTGCAGTGATTTCCAGAACTTTGACCGAAGAACGAGTGGGATTTAGTGGAGAGTGTGCCAATGTGCGCCCTAATTATTATTTAATGCGTCCTAACAGACAAATTGATATGAATTTAATGGGTTAATTATTAAAGTACTTTAGGCGTTATTGTGAATCGGAAACATTTCCAGGGTACCATATTGTGAATTAAAAATCGAGGATTACTATAAGACATGAAAAGATTACATAAAAGTTATGAATGTAAATACAGGATAAAATTCAGTGAATCATTTTCTCTTCTGTTAAAAGATGTTTAATTAATGTACACAAAAATATTAAATGGGGGAAGAAGGGGGGGGGGGGTTGAGGATTAGAAATAGATGTCTAATTTATTAATATTTTTAAGCTATCTATACTTTACTAAGTGAAAAACGCTAGAAATTTTTCAAAAATATTGCGTTTTTATCTTTTTATCTTTTCATCTTTTACTTATTTTGTATTGAATAAACGTTAAAACGGCTAAACCGACCATGCAGACAAACCTAAGAAGGTTTATTTCGATTTTTAAATCATGTTGAAAATCTACTGAAATGAAAACAGGAAAATGTGCCAAAATTTTTGTCAGTTTTTTAGGATTTGACAAATCTTCACGAAAAAAATGCAATACTTTAAACTATAACATCATAAGAGAGTAAGAAATATGTACAAATTAAAATTCTATTAAATTGAATTAAGTTAAACTAAATCAATTTAAATTCAGTAAATAAAATTATATTTAAAGGGGTTGTGTAGACGTATTTTAAATCACAAAACATGGATATTTCTAAAAAAAAAAACTTAGCATATTGATCTAAGATTTCACTCGTTAAATACAGGATCACTTGAGCTTCGGTTACAGTTCCTTGATGACTAATTAGGATTATTAATTATTTTTTTCACTTTTATATTTGTTTGTTATCATCCCTAAATGCGTGGTCATTCCCTTTAACCAATATTTTGTATTGTGTCCCTTTAAGGCCCCCCTGCCGTAACAGGAAAAACAATGTGTTTGAAAGGTGAGGAATTTCGGCCTTTACAGTTTTTACATTTTAGGAGATTTTCAGGCGGCGTCATTGCACTGGATAACAGTGTACACAAGTAGACAACACACTATTTTCGCGGATTAAATTTTTAGATTTTCATGATATGGGGAAACTAATGGAATTTTTCCAGTCTACTATTTTGTGGGAAAACGCCAAATATGCCTGAAAAAGATTTAGGGTGACATTTTCTATTTTTCACAATAGCGATTTAAAATAAAATTTAGAGATACAGGGTAACCCAAAAGGAAACAGACTGTAAAGACGACCCAAAACTTTAGAAATATGACGATTAAAAGCTTTATTTTTTATTTGCTGCATTCAATGGAGTATTTTGATGGTTTACTTAATGATTAAGCACAGAAATAAGGTAGTTTTGGCTTACAAGCAACCCTGAATGCAAGAAAACGGATTGAACAAATTCCGTACAATCGTCTCTAAAGTCTCCTCTTCTGTGGGTAACCCTGTATGTGTAAAAAAAGAATAAACGTTGATATAATATAAACTATCCTTTAACCACAATTAGTGATCACTTATTGAAACTATGAAGTGTACTGTCACAAAAAGGAAATTAGAAGATTTTATTAAATAATTTCCGCGGATTTGCTTGATCCGAACATTATTAATTTCCACTTCATAATTGTTTAATGTTTAATCATATTTGAAATTATTGTTCTACGCGGATAATTATATTTAATCATATTATGGTGTCAATATCAAGCTTTTCAACTTTAATCAATTATAATCAAGAGAGTACTAATGCTATGAAGGAAGGGGGTAATAATGTAGAGAGGTATTATTTATCACATTCCTAAGAAGAATTTAAGTGTTCCGGAAAGGGAAAACAAATGTAAGAATGTTTAATAAACTCTCAAATCTATAGAAATTTCAAGGGGAATTTTCGGAAACAAATCTAGAAAACTGGATTTTTTTAGCCTGTATAGCTGATATTTTTAAGGTTTAAACATTATATCCTTATTACATTTTTGCGATCTTAAAGTTTTAATTTAGGTTTCTGCTGGAGCATGGGTATCTAGAGGTCCAGGGAATCTGATTGTAAGAACCCATTTGCACTTGTTTTACCTTTTCGTTGAAGCTTTTTTTATTTTGAGTATTTTGAGAGTTATAAAGGGTTATAAAGCCCGCTATCTTTTAAGGATTTTGAACAAGTGAAAATATTCTTTACTGCAATTGAGAGACAACTCAGAGTTAGTATTTTATCTAAAGTTTTAACACAGAAAACAATTACAATTTGTTACAAAGTACATACAAATCCCGAGTTGCTCAGGTTACTCATAGTTACTTCTGCAGTTCACCCCCAATTGGTCGTAATTTATGATTTTAGATATTCGAACCACTCAACCTAGCTAATCTCAAAGCCAAGCAATGAATATTCCCGAGTTCCTCATTCAAAATTTGAGGCAAATCGGTTCAGGGGTTATGATCGGACAAACAAACAAATAAACAGAGATTACTACTTTATATATATATATAAATAAATATAAGGTCAACCATCTATATATATAGATAGATAACATTATTAATTGTAAAATTATCAGCTGATTATAAAATCCCTATTTCAGAAATAGTGAATGTTAAAATGGCGCCCAGCTCCGGGGAGAGAATAGCGACAAATAAAGAAAAGAGAAAAAGCCAAATCGAGGTTTGTAGAATTAGAACGAAATAGATTATCAAGTACAATAGATAGTAACATAGAATTTGTACACTCTCAGTCTCAGTACAGCTGTATTCTGACGTCACAATTGTATCAACAGTTTTATGTGTCCGACTTAATTAATAATAATAGTGATAATTTTAGAATAAAAGGCTTATCTAACAATAAAATAAGTGCAAATTAATGTGTTCCTAATTTTCTGTTTTTACACTTTTTTATTTAATCTTGGAAAACATGTCAACTTATGGGAGAAAATGTTGTTTTCCTTGTTGTATTTGACACTTGTGACGTCATGTATAATTGGTCCATTTCTCTGTTGCCACCTTGATTGTTCTTGATAACCTACCGTATTTCCACCAGCCATAAGAACTATTTCTGAACCAGAGAAATAAATGGTACAGTGGGACCAAAAAACTATGGAATAGGAAGACGACTCATACTTATAACCTATATCAACCATCACTCCAATGCACATGTAACACAACAATTGTGCAGTGTCGGCAGACGTAGTTCACTTCATATGTTAATTTTCAAGCTTTTGCTTTGAGACAACATTAAAGACACAAACTATTGCGTAAATGTCATCTTCCTATTCCACAGTTTAATGGGTCATATTGTAGGTAAATGGTTTATTTGATTTTAAATTGAAATAATAAATAAACATACGTAATTCAGATACGTAACTTGTTCAATAAAAAAATTAACACACATTTACTTTTTAAATTTTAAGACCACTTACAGAGCACTGGAAGAAAGTAGGGTACAGTTTTTGGTTCCTGTTTTTTTGGTATTTCATCAGCTCCATTTAAACACATTTCATAAATGCCTTACTCCAATATTTCTCTTTAAGTGTATATTTATCCACACACAAGCTATTGAACTCAATCCTGGTAGGTCTAAGTGTGTATTTATCCACACACAATGCTATCAAATTCTATCCTCTCTACTGAACAATGGTAGGTCTAAGTGTGTATTTTTCCACACACAAAGCTATCAGATTCTGTACTCTCTACCGGGCAATGGTAGTTCTAACTAGTTGTAAACAGAGTCTATATTCAACTAACTATTGTTGAAGGATAACAGCAAACACACCAGATAAAATTGAACAATAGGCCCGTTGGAACACTAGTGGGGGATATATATTTTCCCCAGACAAATCTTTCCAGATAACAAAAGCTTTATTTCCTAAAAAATAACATAAATTATAGGTTGGTTACTTGTACAAATGTTATAACAAATATTAAAAATAGAAAAAATCTTACGTTTTGTTAGCGGATGATAAAGGGGTAAACTTATTGTTGATCAGTATTAAAAGACGTTTTTAAACTTCTGAAATAAATGACAGTTGAATATTAACGAAAGTCACTAATTCTACATATGAAAATATTCTTTGTTTAACTTTTGAAATGGATTCACAATAAACGAGAGTGTTTAGACTCCGTCCCCGGAGAACAAAGAAAAGGGGGCTGAAATTATTTGGTTTGGTGTCTCCGAGAGGGGATTTAAGTTAAAGACGAAATTACACGGATAGATCTTAAAGTTAATGGTTAACAACTATATTTAGGTATAAAGGTACAAGTAAAGATTAAACTGACCAATAATATGGTCGGGTGACTATAACGAAATATATATTATAGGTAGCTTCAAATTTCAGAAATAAGGGTTTTTTTACTATATTTATTACACACATAAAGTAAAATTAAAATCTGAATAACTCTACGTAATGTTAGCTCTGGCTAAATATTAACAAAATTATCCCAAACCATGGCTTTGTTAGCCCTGCAAAAATTTAGTCACCCACAAACCGATGGCGAACATGTAAAGTACAGAAATATTTACCCGCCAACTTTGCCATCAGCACATAAAATCGGTAAAAATGTTTCCTGGGATAATAAGAAGTTAGTTTGGCTAATATTTTCTGTTTGATCAATTTTTTTACATATATTAATGAAAAAATATAAAATGCAAAGAATTCTGGCTCTTTTAAATAATAACTTCTAGGTTTTCCCCTGTTTTCGATCTGGAGGTTCACTGCCCGTACCAAAACCGGTTCCTGTTCTTCCTGCAGTAATACCAACTCCGTTGCCTAAACTACCAGAACTAGTTTTTGCAACAGAGGTATACAGTATACACATGACGGAAAATTATACTTTCTTTTCATTATTAGCAGAAACAGTTGGATCTTGTTGTTTATATACGGTTTTGCCAGGAAACTTAACTTTCTCTGAGTCCAAAATTAACTAATTTGAGCCGCATCTCAAATCCTCCAAAAACTGGTTTCAATTGAGCTCCGGCTTAAATCTTGAAACATTAAATACTCTTTTAAGCGGAACCAATCATTTTTGAGCCGAGTCTCAAATTTAAGTCGTGACTCAAATTCTTTAAATTCGGCCTCTGTTAAAGTTAACTGAATTAATTTTTTAACCAAGCAAAGAACATTCCTGTTGTTCTCCCAAGTTCCCCATTCCAAGATTTAGACAAATCAGTCAAGGGGTTCAAGAGCTATAATTAGATATACAGACAAAATACAACGATTACTACTTTATTTTGATACTGATGCATGATTTTTCAATTACATTTTCTGTTCATTTTCCTTTTTTAACAAATTATTTCCTTAATTTAAAAAAATTTCCCTTCATCATAGTACTTTTTACTGCCCTATAGTAAAACAATAGGTTAACATTTTCTTTATTTCTTTTATTTATTGCTGTACAGTTGGAGGAGAAGGTAAAATGTTTCAAAGCCAAACCATTGGACCAGGATGAATCAGAACCAGTGATCTGTGATATTATATTGATCGAAAACATCTTTCAACAAGGAATACTTTTGTCATTTTACATTAATTAAATAAAAGTTAAATTCTTCTGAATTCAGAGAAACCAGAATTCAAAATTATAATTGTCAGCTAAACTACAAGGATATCTTTATAAATTTTGTTCAGATAAATGTTACCATCTTTGATTTGAAGCTAACAATCAAAATTAAATTAAAATTTCCTTGAATTGATTATGCATGAAAGTAAATATTTTTTTAAATGACAAATTCTATAGGTACTACTTCTACATTATCTTCACTACTGTGTATGGAGGCAGAACCAGTTCCATCTCTACCTGCCCCACCACCAGCCCAGCTTAAACCCAAACCAAACCAAGGCTGCGCCAAACATTCAAGATGTCACTGTAACCTCATGTCTTTTGATACCCCAGACTTTTTTGTTCTTAAAGCATAGCATGTGAAACTTATTATATTACGGAGAGTTGAAATTCAAAATGATCTTAAATCCCACAAAAGTTGGACCAATAAAAGATCGACTGATCATCAGAAAAGACCCACGAGGGCTCCGTAAAACAAAATGAGTTTAACTTCTAATTCAAAATTCTGAATCAAGAAGTTGATTGCAATTTAGAACTTTTCTTAATTTTACTCAAATGACAATTGATGATATCAATGTATTATGTTTTTTTTTTTTTTATAAACAGTACCCTATGATCATGAAAACAGCTGCTCAATGTGGAGAAATTATTTTAATAGATTTTTGGATCCTTTTACAATCTGTTAATTTACGTGTAATATATATGATATATTTATGTATTACAATTTACCTTTATAAAATGATTAATAAAACCATTTTGTGTTTCAATAAAATGTATTATTCACAATATTTTCTCTTATATTGTAAGCATGGAGAAAGGCTTACTTGTATACGTAAACTGTAGTATACGATAGTAGTGGGACAGATGACAATTCTTCTCATCGATATCATGTAGGGAGCAGAGGGACAGATGACAAGTCTCCACATCTGTAGCATGTAGGGATATTTATCCGTTAAGAAATGCTAAATCCTCGTGAAAAAGCAAGCCATGCCGTTGAAACCGGGAATTAGAGAATTAATTCATCCAATAGGTGATGAACACAGGCTTGAAAACAAGGCAGGAGGAAAAGGCATAACCTAGGCTAAAGCCAAAAAATTCAAATTTTTTTTTTTCAAATTTCCTTTTTAAACATTTTATTTTTTCACGGGCAACGCCGGCCCCTTCAGGGTGACCGGAGGGTGTGAAAGGCTAAAAAAATTCGAAATCTAAAAAAAAAATATTTAAATATTTAAAAAAAAATCTTATCCTCGGGCAACGCCGGGCCCTTTAGCTAGTGATTAATAAAGTAGTATATAAAACATTTAAACATTAACAATAAAATATTTAGAGAAATCAATTTGAATTGAATTTCATTTCATCTTTTATAATCTTTGATTTAATTGATACCTTTTTTGGTAGTTTAAATAAAAATCTAGAAATTTATGTATAATTTATTAATTTATTGCTTGGAACCCCTAAATCTCATGCTGTTGCACATGTGATAAATATATATTTTTCTAATTTTTCTAGTCAGTGTGTATCCTTTGTATTCTATGTATCCCCCCCCTTTGAGCTCAACACATGTATTATGTTTCCAATTTATCACGTGTATCCTTTGTATCATGTGTATCGATGTATCATGTATTCTGTGTATGATGTGTTTCATGTAATCTGTATATCATGTGTATCAGGTATCCAATGTATCCAGTGTATCCTGTGTTCAGTTCATATACACTAATGTTAAATTGGAATAAAACTAGAGCTGGACAAACAGAGGTTTTTGAAAATTAACGGAATATAACTGCTTCATCCTAGTCCTGGTTTCTTGTCAAATGTTCAGATTTATCTATTTATAAATTTGGCTTGTCTGTCTGTTTGTATCCAAAAAACGTCAAAACAGCTGAACCGATCGGGCCCAAATTTTTTGTGGTACATCAGGTGACCACAGGGAAGGTTTATGAAGGATAAAAAAATGTGTTTTAAAGGTTTTAATTTTGTAAAAAAATTTAAATTCTTGAAAATCCGCGAATTTTTTTTTTAAATCCGCAAAAATTTTTTCTTCTTTGTTTTAAAATGTTAACAAAAAGAACATGTTCACAATTTAAATAAGATGGGCGCGAAGCGCCCTAAAAGCCTAGTATCTTATATTCTCACCAATATGGATTTCGACCCAAACATGACACCTCACATCCACTTTTACAATTCTATAAAACTTACCAAGGTCTGATAAAGGATGAATCTGAATATACCTTGGGAGTATTCTTAGATCTAAAAAAAGCCTTTGATACTGTTGACTTTGATATACTTTTAGGAAAGCTGAATCATTATGGTTTTAGAGGTATCACTAACGAATGGTTTAGAAATTATTTAATAAACAGAACGCAATATGTAAGTTAATGAGAATTTGGGCCGGTTTTAGGACCAATACTCTTATTACTATATAGTATATATATAAATGACCTTCCTAAATGTACATCTTTCTTAACTTCTCTTTTTGCTGATGATACAGGTTTCCTTAAATCCTTTTTACGTCTGCTAATGTAAAGCTCTCTAAAGCGGCATGTTGGTTTCAAGCAAACCAACTTAATCTTACTCTTATAAATGTTTCTAAAAAATATGCCTTTTGATGATCAACAATACACAGTTTGAAAAGTTTGAAAAGATTCTTATAAATGTTTCTAAAAAATATGCCTTTTGATGATCAACAATACACATTTATGATTGGGGACGAAATTATCGAAAGAATAGGGTAAGGCTGTAAAGAAAATATTTTAAATTTGTAGGAGTTAGATTTGATGAGTTTCTAAAGTGGGATTTTCAAAATTTTAAGTGCGATATTTGCACTAAGAAATGTAATACATATCCTTCCTTTGAGAATTAGAAAATTAATATATGATAGCCTGATTTAAAGTCAACTAGAGTATGGTATTTTATCTTGGGGTCCGTCAGTAAATAGTAAATTAGGTAAATATCTACTCTTCAGAAAAAAGCTCTACGAGTCCTAGCAGGTAACGGTTATGCTGCACACGCAGATCCGCTTTTTCTGAAACTTGAAATTCTAAAAATAAAAGACGTGATCAAATTTTAATTCTGCTATTTTTATGTTTAAATACATAAAAAGGAATGATCGTTAAATAATTTTAAAAATATGTAGATGTTTATATACATATCTTTTGCATGACGTCGCTGGATTTTCATAATCACAATTTCATTGCACTAAATTTATCATTTAAAAACGTAATAACTGCTGGAAGACTCGATTGCTGTGGCATATAAGACGTAGGGTGCTATGAAAACGCCTCACCACGGAAATGCCTCAAGAAAACGAACTCATACAATTAATTTAATGTCGTCCTATCACAACTTAAAGTTAAAAAGACTATATTCTAATGATTTTCAAGGCCATGGCCGCAGCACTCGGCCACTTGCCTGTCCTAGCCACAGCGCTCGTCCCTCTTCTAAGCCTGACGGCGCAATTTAACCAATCCTTAACTAATGCTTTACTAAGTTTTATAAAAATAGAACTTTTTTTAATTGAGAGTAGACATTAACTTAATCCTTTTTTTGAGGCATTTCCGTGATGAGGAGTTTCCATAGCACCGGTTGAAGCTCATGGCTGCTAAAAACTCAAAATAGCCAATATGTGGCATGGAAGGGAAAAATGTTATGGCTTATGGGCGCTCCCCTTACAGTCCCTTTCAGAAATTTTTTTGTTTTTGAGAGTTTTACAGAATTTTCCGATATTTTCTAAAAACTTTAGTTCGATGAACTCAAAAATCGTTTAAAGAAATGTAGAAACATTCAAGGAATAAAAAACAATAATCTGATCATTTTCGATGGATTCGAATTTTAAGTCGTTAAGTAAATTTTTTGAAAAATATAAAATGTTGAGATATAAATATTCTACATTTGCTAAAGTATGGATAAAATATTGTTCAAATATAGTACACATTCATGTTAATGGGACTGTATGCATTATTTTATGTGAACTTCCATTTATAGAGTGGCATGCCAAGTTTACATTGCCTTTAAACCTTTGTTTGACTAATGATTTCGAAATCGTAGATATGCTTGAAAGCCAACGCCAAGAAACCGTGCGAGTGTACACTGTACTCTAGTGCACATTAGAGTACAGTGTACAGTGTACTCTAGTGCACACTAGAGTACAGTGTACACTGTAACCTCGAATATCTCCCGGCGGCGCTTCAATCTTAAGGGTATAATTAGTATAATGAGGGTATCCTCTTCATCGTTGTCAAAATCATGATTTGTACACTTTGAAGTCCCTTTCAGGCTGAAAGGGACTGACAAAATTCATACCGAAGGATTGTCTAAATTCAGCTCTAATATATATTCTATTCTCTTTGTTCATTCTTTACTCTAGAATTTAGGTTTCAGCAAACACTAGCTTGAAAACAAAGGAATTGAGTCTTCGCCACAAACTCTGAATTTCTAATCCCTATATCTGTGCAACCCAATGTCGTAGACCTTAAATATTTCAAACTATAAATTCTGTTAGATCAAATATTCTAGGTTTAAAATATCGAAGGTTCACACCATCAGGTTGTAAAGAAATAGGGATTAGACAATTTGAGTTTCTGGTTAAGACTCAATTCCTTTAAACATAACCAAAGTAAACAAATTGCACATAATAATAATAAGAATAGTAATAATAATAATAATAATAATACTGAATTATATGGAATATGTGAGCTGTAAGGTGTAAATATATGATGGACAAAAATATTTTGCTGGAATATATATTCTTTGTTCTCAAAGCAGTATAATTTTAACAATCATGATCTTTGGATAAAATAACCATACAAAACTTTGAATTGTTAAGTTTGTGCTTCATGATATTAGAGCAGTAGAAAAAAACAAGGTTTAAAAAAATGCAATAATTCTGAAGTCTAAATACCAATGGACGGATTATTAACATTGGTTTCCAAAATTCTAGTCTTTGGACTTTTTGAAAATATTTCTGGGTGAGGGAGAATTGTTGAAGAGCTTCTGCATCTTTTCCTTGACCCTAGTCCCTCCATGTACACTTGGAGATGGTCCAACCACTCCATCTTCCTTTCCATCATCCTCAAGATCATTTATTTAAAATTTAACAAATTTAAAATTCATTAGTGCAAAATCACTGTCTGTCTAATCTAATCTAATTATTTAAGTTTACCTGACTAGGAGCAAAATCTGGAACTGGAAGCTGTTCTTGATACGGTTCAAATGCCATGTTAGTGGGTTGCATCATGTGTTTTGAGAATGTACTTCTCCGTGCCACCTCCACCTCCGACATTAGCATGAGGAGTGCAGTTTCCAGATAGCTTGTTCCAGCATGTGCTTCAGCTTTTGGGTCAGCTGGCGGGTCACAGTCTGCTGTTAGTGCAGGGTTGGACTGAATTAGTTCAAGTAATCCGGCCAAACCAGGCAGTACTATCTCAGTTAATGTTTCCTCTAAAAATCAACTCAATATTTTCTTGAACTACGTTTATTTTACTTCTACAAGACTTAACAAAATTCTGAAAATAAGTTAGAAAGTTTGAAAAGTTAGAAAAGTTTGAAAAGTTTGAAAAATTAGAAAAGTTTGAAAAGTTTGAAAAGTTTGAAAAGTTTGAAAAGTTTGAAAAGTTTGAATAGTTGGAAAAGTTAGAAAGTTAGAAAGTTTGAATAGTTTGAATAGTTGGAATAGTTTGAAAAGTTTGAAAAGTTTGAAAAGTTTGAATAGTTTGAATAGTTAAAATAGTTTGAAAAGTTTGAAAAGTTTGAAAAGTTTGAAAAGTTTGAAAAGTTTGAATAGTTTGAATAGTTTGAAAAGTTTGAAAAGTTTGAAAAGTTTGAAAAGTTTGAAAAGTTTGAAAAGTTTGAATAGTTTGAATAGTTTGAAAAGTTTGAAAAGTTTGAAAAGATTGAAAAGTTTGAAAATTAGAAAAGTTAGAAAAGTTGGAAAAATTATAAAAGTTGGAAAAATTAGAAAAGTTGGAAAAATTAGAATAGTTGGAAAATTTTTTGAACTTATACCTGGAAGCCCTGCTTGAGGAACAGCAGATAGAGTTTGTAAAAATGATGAGCAGAGACATCTATTAGAGTAATTAGGAGTTAGTAGGCTCCAGGTCTCAGGCAGGCCACACACCTTTAACAGTTTCTTAAGTTTTAAAGTAAATTTTTTTAAACAGTACTTATACCTGTAATAAATATAGTAATAACCCCATTATCTTTGAAACTTGATGCTATCGATATATATATATATATATAGTGCTTAAAGTCATCTAACCGTGTTATCAGTCAGTTTAATCTTTACCTGTACATTTATACCAAAATATAATTAGTTGAATATAGACTCTGTTTATGGACGGTAAGAACTACCATTGCCCGGTAGAGTATAGAGTCTGATAGCTTTTGTGTGGAAAAATACGCACTTATACTTAACAGTATTCGGTAGAGGGGATAGTGTTTGATAGCTTTGTGTGTTGATAAATACACACTTAGACCAACCAATGTTCGGTAGAGGGGACAGAGTTTGATAGCTTTGTGTGTGGATAAATACACACTTAGACCTACATGTGTTCGGTAGAGAGGATAGAGTTCGATATCTTTGTGTGGATAAAAATATTGGAGTAAGGCATTTATTACATACCTTTGAGAGAAGAAATGAAGAGGATTGAGATGAGCGAAGAGACTGTTCTGTTATTGCAAGTAGTTGGAGAAGAACTTCTTCAGTTAACATTAGTTTATCAAGGAAACCTTCTAGGTTAACAATCTCGGTCTGCTCCAGGGGTTCCTTTATTAGGATAGCAGATGTACTTCTAAGCAGACAAAGTTGAACAGACAGCTCTTCATTTCTACTTATCCCAACCAAGAGCTCAACCAAGCCTTTAATATCAGTAATTCCAATAGAGCAGTCTGTAATCATCTCTATTAGTTCAGCTGTGTATAGAATATCAGACCCTGGTTCTGTATTATACTTGTGCAGTCTGCCAACAAGCATACTGTCTTGACCCTCCTCACATAAAAACCTGACTGCATGTTTGATGTTGTTTCTAATATGCTCCTGATTTCTAAAGGCGGTTCGAAGAGTTTTAAAAAGAAACTCTGATAACTCCAGAGAATCCTCTTGAACAAGAAAATGGATAATTGCTGATAAACAATTTTGACCAATTATCTTATTCTTGTCCCTATCTCCAACCAGTTTAATTAGAGGCTGAATAATAATATCTTTTGTAATGTTGCTTCCCATATGTATATTGGACTGGAGAAGGAATGTCACAAAAAGCTTGGTCAGATTGTCATCTTCTTTTTGCAAAATATCGTCTGCAGAATCCACATCACTAATCAAATCACAGAATCGTTGCAATAAGTTGAATACTTTAAAGTTGATAGAGACAGACTCATGGGGCTTTGACATGTAGAAAGATAAAGAAGATATCCACTGCTTCTCTACTTCTTCACCAAACATGGTTCTAATATGGTTCTCGCTTGAAAGATTGTTAATGATAGAGGATTTCATCATTAACTGGGTGCTTAGAGAAGGAGATTTCAATGCTAGCTGGACTGAAAGGAGAGGTAGAACCCCGGTCAATAAACTCAGTTTACTCCTCACATGAGAATTGGGAACAGAATCAAGAAGAAAATGAACCAGGTCACAAATGCAGAAATGAGAATTCTGAGAAATTTTGAAACTAAGCACTGGCAGTAATGTCCTAACTAGAGATTGAATGATGGAAGCATTGAAAGAATGACGAATAAGACAATCCAAGATCAGCTCTTTCAGTTTCTCAATTTTATCTTCTACTTCAATTGAGGTTAGTAGTATAGCCATACTTTTGATAGAACTCAAAACAACATCCAGCTCAATATCTGTAAGCAGTTGGCTGAGCAAGGAGTAAAGTAAGCTAGTTCTCATCTCTATTGAAACAAATCTACTAAGTGCACCAACTCCCTCACTCACAAGTAACCGTCTTTCTACATTCTTATTGTCAACCTGCTGCCAAAGATGTGGTAGAATCTCTTCTTCTGTTCTAGATACACTCCAGTCCTCTCTGGAAGCAATCCAGACAAGTGCTGAGAGTATCTTCACCCTGGAGCTTTCTTCAGGTTTCTTCAAAAGGTTCACAAGTACTCCCAGTAGCTCGTCACGGACAACAGTTTCCTCATGTTTGTTTATAGGATGGAGAAGAAGTGGAATAATTTCTATTCTCACTGATAAAACTAGACTTGACACAAGAGTTGGCAGACGCTCAGCTAGTATTTGAACAATGTCAAGATCACCTTCATTTATATCCTCTGGATGCAGAACACAAGCTTCAGCCATTAAATAGTTGTGAAACTCTTTTGGTATACTCCAAACCTCACTGCCCTCAGAATCTGAATCTGCCGTAGGAGGCTGATCATCTGCTAGAGATGCTCCATCTCCCTCTTCCCTCTCCTGAACCAACTGGGCACACTCAAGCTCTAGTTTTACTGCAGACTTAAGTTTTTCTTCAAGTTCAGTTTTAGTGGACTCTGATGAAAGTAATGCATATTCTAGATTATCCTTCTCCTTCTGGACTTTCTCAACTATGTCCTTCAACCCCTGCTTGTCTTTTATAAGATTGTCAATTGCTTCAAGACGTTCTGCCAAGGCAACCTCCAATTCTCTATTCTTCTCTTCTGCTCTTTTCAGACCTTGGTTCAGCTCTTCTTGCACCCGAAGAAGAGCTGCAATGTCAGATTCTGCTTGATCTTTACAATCTCCAACCTCCAGCTGAGTAGTATCTTCTCCAATGGTTTCACTGAAAAAAATATTTAACACTGAATTGGTAAAATTGTCTTGATGGACATATTGATTACTTTAAGGGTTGTAATTTTAAAAGTCACTATAATACCAATTTTTGAATATGATCAAAATGACAAACCTTGGATCAGGCTGTGGTTGACCTCCGTTTCTAAACAAGTTTATTAGAGAGGCTGGAGATACCTCTTCCCAGTCATCAAAATCTTCCTCATTGCATTCATCTGAAACAAACGAATTTAAAAAGCTGAAAATGATCAACATGCCTATATATCATAAACCCAAAAAGATTCCAGTCCTTATGTAGCAGCAATATTTTTGCTTTCAAATGGCTCCCCAAAGCAATCAATTCTATCATAGAACAACATAACATAGATGTTGACAGCTGTTATCTCTTGTTCCTCAACTGTACCACCCATATTTCTTTTCTACAGTCATACTTTTGTGTTACAACTTTGCCTTGTTTTTTTATATTTTAACAGCTGTATCTTTTACCTGAAAATGTGACAGCTGTAAACTTGTAACCATTTCTCACAAGATAATCATTGATCATAAAGTTCAGCATTTTAGCTTCATGCGGCCTTAAATAATTACTAAGTTTAGTATTTTAGCTTCATGCGGCCTTAAATAATTACTTAGTTTAGTATTACTACTTCAAAAATGAAGGGGTTACATTTATTTATTACTGAATTGGAATAACAAAGTTTTAAGGAAATAAATACAATTTTAGGCAAAAAAAAGAAAGAAAAAACTTGCCAGTTGGATTCAAATGTTCATCCCCCCCTTCCCTTTAATCTTCAAAAATCATATAATTCTCTCCCCCCGAAAGAGGAGGGGGGGGGGCGGATTTCTAAAACTATACACCATACAAGTTTATCTTCACCTCAAAGGTATCTCTTCTGTTTCATCTTCATCCTAATAAAAATACAATTTTTTTTAATTATTTACAAGAGGCAAAAACAATCAAAACTCTGGTTAATGATGTGTAAAAAGACCCAATCCATGAGAAAATTAGATCATTATCTAACAATAAAACGATCAAAGATTATATTCTGAGATTTTTCAAATCAGTTGTAATTTATATTTCTAGTGGGCCAGACAAGTTAATTACCTGAAGCCCAGTCATAGGTTCAGATAGAGTTCTTCTTCGTTCTTCAGATGTAAAATGTGAGATAGAACTTCTAAACAATGTTTTTTAAATAATAACATTTAACATAAATCACCAAAAAGAGTGGAATAGTGCTGTCATCTGCTCTTTATTTTTTCCCCCAGGTTTTGTTTACTTCTTCTGTACATTGTCTTTTTCATAGTTACCATTTTTTTCTTTAACTTTATTACAATTTTAGTCATTTTCTGTAGGACTGAAGAGGATAAAACAATATATCAAAATTAATTTCCAAACCCAAGTATTTCTATCTGCGAGAGTGAAAACCTTTTTTTCCAATATGAACAATTTATATATACCTCAATTTACTTTAAAGATATCTTGAAATTTGCACTTTATTGAATAGTTTCCAACCTTAACTGAGTAATGGTCTCTCTCGCTGTTCTCAGTTCATATTCAAGAACAGCCATTCTATCCTCCTCTCTTCTATCTGTATCCTGAAATAATATTGTTCACTTTCATTCTATCATTATTCTTTCTAAACGCTGGACTGTACAGAAAGTACAGTGTACATTGTATAAGAGAAAACCTTGTTCATAAAAACAAGTACACTGTATTAATACATGAGTCCAGTCTCCACTAATGAATAAGTCCAGTCTCCACTAATGAATAAGTCCAGTCTCCAATAATAATTAAGTCCAGTCAATCCTAATCGTGTCCAGTCCAGTTCTAAATACCTCTGAGTATCTTGTAATCCTGTCTATAGAATCCAATGTCATCTGACTGGAGGATCTAGGTCAAATGAACATTTGAAACTTGCAATCTCCTTGATAATTCTGTTTGTATAAGTGGAAAGTTGCAATCTCTCTGGATAGTTTCAGATTCTTGAATTTGTTATGTAAATGTTGTAACCTCCTAGATAGTCAAGTTATTTTTCAAGTTAAGTTGCAATCTTCTCAGTGAACACTTTGTTTAAAAGATTAATTTCAATAATTGAGGCAATTATTCATTTTCCTGGTGATATCATAATGACCGCCGTGTGCTCCTAAATTGTACAAAAATATAAAAAGAAATTTAATAAATATATAAAGGAAAAAAATGTTAAATGATTTTTTAGAGTTTTGTATAACTCTTACATAAAAAGCTTAAAAATAAACAGTTTAAAAAATAATAAATCCATCAGATGAATTAAAATGTTATTATCAAAGTTAAAAATTTTACCTCTTGACCCTGGTGAAAAAAGCTCTCTCCCTCCTAATATTATCACATGGTTACAACCACAAAGTTATGAACTTAAAGGGAGTGACCGGCTATGTAAGGTAGTTGAACTGAGTATGCAGTATCCTGAGTTTGAGCGCAAATTCGACGTTCAAAATCCCTACTTTGGGGATGGATACGTTTTCAGAATTGGTTTTTTTAAATTATCAAATAACGGCCAGTCACTCCTGTTAACTCTGTGCGTCATGAAGAACAAAATGCATCAATGGCGGATTTTTAAATTCTGTCTGTCTCGCGGATTTTAAGGTTAGGTGTTTTATTTTTCTTAAAATACAACATTATGCGCATTTCCATTAAGAATTTAATGCAGCATTCAACTTGAATGTGTGCTAGCTGTTTAAATGTGAAAATGCGAAAAAATTTAATTTTCACTTCAATTGAATGTATGCAGATGCAGAATTGGTAAATATTGAGAAGGAATTCATCTTTTAAAATTGTTTATCGAACTAAAAATATTATTTGTTTGCTAATACCTACAATTTGGAAAATGAAAGAACCTGGGGTACATGGGGTGGATCTGGGAGTGTCTGTGAGCTGGCCAGCTTGTGTTGACCCATCCTGAATATTCGCTGGATCCTGGAAAAATTCCTTCAACACCCTTAACTCCTAAAAATAACAGTTACAAATAAAATAACTGGTATATAAAAAATCTTCCCTGATAAAGCTGGCAATGCCCGATTTACAACGGTACCCTTAAAAGCTGTGTCTAATCAAGTATGAATCAGATATCAATTTTTTGTTTTGATTTATACTATTTATTTTCATATTCGGTTTCTCTGCGTAATTGATTTGCGCATTTCTTGTTTATAAGAAGCAATTGAAAATTAACCGAATTAAAACTTTAAGAGTAAAAAAACAAGAGTGTATAATCTTCCACTGAAATAATATCGTACACTTTCATTATATCCTTCTCTCTTCTATCTGTATCCTCAAATAATATTGTACACTTCCATTCTTTCCTTCTCTCTTCTATCTGTATCCTCAAATAATATTGTACACTTTCATTCTATCCTTCTCTCTTCTATCTGTATCCTCAAATAATATTGTACACTTTCATTCTATCCTTCTCTCTTCTATCTGTATCCTCAAATAATATTGTACACTTTCATTCTATCCTTCTCTCTTCTATCTGTATCCTCAAATAATATTGTACACTTTCATTCTATCCTTCTCTCTTCTATCTGTATCCTCAAATAATATTGTACACTTTCATTCTATCCTTCTCTCTTCTATCTGTATCCTCAAATAATATTGTACACTTTCATTCTATCCTTCTCTCTTCTATCTGTATCCTCAAATAATATTGTACACTTTCATTCTATCCTTCTCTCTTCTATCTGTATCCTCAAATAATATTGTACACTTTCATTCTATCCTTCTCTCTTCTATCTGTATCCTCAAATAATATTGTACACTTTCATTCTATCCTTCTCTCTTCTATCTGTATCCTCAAATAATATTGTACACTTTCATTCTATCCTTCTCTCTTCTATCTGTATCCTCAAATAATATTGTACACTTTCATTCTATCCTTCTCTCTTCTATCTGTATCCTCAAATAATATTGTACACTTTCATTCTATCCTTCTCTCTTCTATCTGTATCCTCAAATAATATTGTACACTTTCATTCTATCCTTCTCTCTTCTATCTGTATCCTCAAATAATATTGTACACTTTCATTCTATCCTTCTCTCTTCTNTTTTTTTTTGGGGGGGGGGATTAAATATGCATTACATTTTAGGTGGGGAGTTTATTTTCCAGAAATATATTCAACATTTAACCTGAATTCTTGCATGTCTTTTTCTACACTTTTCTCTGACTTTTTCTTGTGTTGCTTACCAGCCTGAACATCATTCACATTAACATTTATTTATTTATTTATTCATTTATCTTTATCTATTTATTTATTAATTTTATTTTTTGTTAATTATTCATATCTTAATCTTTTAAAAAATCAAATCCGTTCAATTCTGTTTCACCTTATTTAAAATTAAAAAACCTGACTAATAAAAATTTCATTAAAACTAATCTTAAATAAATCATAAACAAAATAATTTAATTACCATATGGACTTCAAGAAGAGGAGCAGAAGAGACAAATATATTACACACCTCACAGCTGAAAAAATAAAGGAATTAAAGGTTTTGTCGACGTGTTTTCAAGGGTAACAGAAATGACACCATTGTATAATGTATATTCTAACCAACCTGAGCTCAGTTTGAACTTTTCCAGAACCCCCTTGAGAACCTTGAACCTTCTTCAGATGCTTCTGACCTTTCTGATGGTCTTCCAACCCTTGCTGGGAGGTCACTGCAATATGTCAATACAGGATCCGCCCAAATAGATCAACTAAGTCAAAACAATTCGAAAGGTCTTCAATGACTTAACAAGGTTGTAAAGATCAACACAGAATGTTAAAGGTCAACTTAAAAAAGTTTGTCCATCATTGAATAAAATTGGTTTTTAACCTGACACATTGCAGACTTCACAATGAAACTTAGACCCAGCACTCATGCCTCCTCCAACCATGTTCTATATAATCATATTCAATCAATCAATCAATCAACGAACAAATTAAAAAATTAATTAAATAATCATGCCATTTGAAGCTAAAAACAACCACTCACCCACTATAGAATCAACAAAGCAGCCAAGTAGCTAATTAACCAACCAACCAACCAACTGAATAACCAACCAACCAACCAACCAACCAACCAACCAATTAATACCTTATGTTTCTTCCCTGCAACATGAGCATTGTAGTTCACCTCTGTTTTCAAATCAACTGCACAGGGGGGACAACTAAAATATTAATTTTGTCATTTCTTCCCTTGAACCTAGAACCTTTAATACCTTCAAAACCGGACTTGAGAAAATAAAATATAATTTATTATATGCCCGGGACAGAGAGCTAAATGTAAAGCACAGAAGCCAAGTTTAATAGATCTCTGTACAGCGAGGACAAGTAAAAAAGTCTTTTTTTGGACCACCCGGTCTTCTGCAGTCATCAAAACAAGGAACAAGTAAATAAGTTTCACTAAAATCTTATCCGACTAATAGCGTCTGTAAATATTCCAACAAAAAATACCAGTTTTAGAAACTAATGAGAAGAGAAGAGGATTTGAACTAGATAAAGATGTGATTGTAGGAGAAGCATAATTTCCCTTCTCGTTAATTTCCAAAAAAATGTTATTTCAGTTAAAAAATAAGTGGATGTATTTGGTTTATCTCATTTACATATTTTGGTTACATAAATTTACGTAATTTTACCAAAATTACGTAATATTAATCTTGAAATTTCGCAATTTGGTAAATCAGGTAATTCCTTATTTTAACTTACAAATAAATGGATGTCTTCATCTCATTTCCTGGATTAATCGGGTTTGGGTTAAACACAGCAAGAACCTGAAGAAAAAGTTAGATTTAACTAATTTATCAGATAGCCCCCCCCCCTTTCATCTGAGTTAGATTTAACTAGTTTATCAGATAGTCCCCCCCCCCCCAGTTGCGCCACTGATTGCCATCTCTGCAAGGAGGGTCACTTGAAGTTTTAAGATACTGTGAGGCCCTGTAAAGAAAACTTGACATAACAATGGTAGGATGAATTTCTCATCAGGAAAGGTTAAAATGTTTGTTTTAACAGAACTGAAATCTTTAGAATGGGATATCCTTAATCCCGATCGGTCAATTAATCTGGAGATTAATAACAAGATGAGTAAAAGCATTATTTAATCTCGAGATTAAGAAAAAGAGTGGATCAAGCCTTAATCCCGATATCTACCATTCAAAAGTTCCCAGCTCTAGGTCTACTATTAAAAAAAGGGGTTATTTATAAAATTACCTTTCCATTTCCAAGGAGTTCTGCATACAACTCCAATGCAGTCAAATGTAAACCTGTTAATAACATAATTATAATAAGTTTAACTAAAATAATATTATATTTTTCTTTTCATTTATCAAACATGTTCTACCTTCAGCAAGTAGTTGCTCAGCAATGTCTCTGTGTGTTAGCGCCATTAAGAGTTCAGTTTCCTGTCATTTATCTAGCCATTACAAGCTAGGTTGCCATAGTGTCTGCAAACACAAATATACGTACAATTAAACAAACACTATGAAATTACTATAATAACATTAACAACATTAATAAGAAAGAGAAGTACAATTAATTATTTCATTATCTATGCAAAAAACCTTCCTTAATGTAAAAAAAACAGAAGAAAAAATAATGAAATTTAACAAAAAAAATAAAGAAAAAGCAGCAACAATTCAATTTTCAATTCATTAAGTGGAATAAAATTAAGGTCAAGTGACTAATTTACGTAAGTTCCAGACTTGCAGCTTCTATTTTGCTAGGATTTAAATTTTAACTTCCTCTGCAGCACTGGACTGACCCGTATTTTATAACTGTATACAGTGAGAACTGCTTAAAACTGCAGATTTGCCGAAAGTGCAACAGAAGCAGCATTAAAAGCATCACTTTAAAAACTGGTAGCAGTAGTCTTGGCGGGAGAAGAAGGATCAGTAACATCAGTTCAGTACGTATTAGTAGCATTAGCTGAAGACGTATTAGTAGCATCAGCTGACGACGTATTAGTAGCATCAGCTGAAGACGTATTAGTAGCATCAGCTGACGACGTATTAGTAACAACTGTTTCTGCATTGTTTTCAACCTGAACCGCTTGTGACGGATTTCCAGCAGTCTTCATCTTTGCAAGATGCTTCTTACCCTTTATGTGCATCTGAACAGTCAGAAAACACGTTTATTTCTGATTTAAATAATCAATTTTAAAATCAAAAGAACAAATTTAATGAATAGCTAGAAGTGTTTAAACCACAAAGACTGAGTTCAACTACTTTCTTGTGCGGTCAAGCTGAACAGAAGTAGTTCAACTCAGCTTTGTTGGCTATTCATTAAACCGCCTGGTCCCCAGAGGATAAAATATTTGGCGGACCACATTTGAAAAAGCACAGAAATTTTTTTTTTTTCATGAAGAATAAAATTGAATAAAGACGATTTTAGTTTAGTTTAGATACATTAATGTTAGCCAGGAATTTAGTTAATAAATGGTGTTAACTGTGCCTCAAGTGCATTATTGTTAGGACAGCTTACTTGACAGGTTTCACACCTGGATAAAAAGATAAATTAGAAAAATAATAAAAAACCTGAAAAAGTATGTTTTTTTTTAAAATGAATAAATTAATCCTTAGAGGTTAAAGTATATTCCTATAATGAGATTTTGCCATGGTTACAGATGTTAGTTCTACATTACAGTATTCACACATTTTCTCCTTCATCCAGGGGTCAAGATAATTCAAGAAAATTACAGTCATCGTTGAGATTCATGATTGACATAATATGAAAACCTGACAAAATATTCAAATAGACCAAGGGGCCGAGCACTGCAGCTGAAAACTTACTATTAGAATATCTAAGCGAGTATTAAAAAAAATGTATTTCCATCTAATTTAGTCTTGTAGGTTGCTTTTATTAATAGGAAGGGAGGAGGGGGGGGGGATCAGTGGAAATTTTTCCAATTAAATACTAGTTATCTGGACCCCTGCCTGCAGAGAACATTCTAAAACTTTCTTCTTGGGAACATCCTTCCCGTTCCTCTTACAGTATTCATCCAACCAAACCTTCACCTGGAAGGGACTGTCCTTGTAATTTCAATTGACCCTCTAATTTCAAAACGAGAAGCATGCTTTTAGGCCTTTCTTTCATCAATTATATTGATGACATCATTGTATTTCTAACTTGAAATGTTTTTACTTCAAATAAATGTCCCTTGGTTTCTTGAGTAGAAATATGCAAGACCTTCGATAAGTCGCACAACTTGCATTTCTAGAATATATTAGAATTTTACATTTTGTGCTTTTGAACTTTAATATTTCAATATTTTATTTTATTTCACCAGTTTATCAGGTTGTCATTCGTTAAATGTGGGAAAAAATTATTTTTCATTCTTTCAACACTCTCAATCTCTTCAGCAGAATACATAATCCAACCACTACCTTCAACACTCTCAATCTCTTCAGCAGAATACATAATCCAACCACTACAGGTTAAAAATCTCTCACACTTAAGGGTGAGAGAATTAACCTGTATTTTTGTTTGTTTGTTTAGATGAATCAAAATTTTACCTTTTTGTCGTGATTCTTTCCATTCAGATGTGAAGTTGCAACTGAAAATAAATGATTGTGAAGAACTTAAAATATATTTTGAAGTGACTGTTGACATATTTGCCTCTTCTTAATCTAAATAACACTTAGCAACATATTCTCTATAACTTGCTATCTTATCTCTGCAATGTATGACCCAAGTTCAATAATGCGTAGATGAAGCAGGAACCTAGTTAAACCAGGAAGAATATCTTAATTGTACTTTAAAAAGGGGTTGGAGAATATACTTCAGTCCCGCATACCTGGGTTCACATACACTTTATATTCGGCAATGATTTTTATGAATTGGAATAAAATATACAATAATAATAGTATCTTTAGTAGTGCTAGTTATGCATTTTGGTACCTTTCCACCTACCAGACTTTTGTCGGGTATAGCAACCTATGAATTCAGTTTTCACTTCTTAAACGGAATAGAATTTTAAATGTAAATTATTAACTGACTGAACACTTGAAACTAAATTGACAGTCCCTGTAAGGTTAAAAGTAGCACAATAAATACAGGTAACTGAACTTTTGTGCCCTTGTTAACCTTTTAACACCTCTAGCACACACATGTGCTAGTAGAGGAGGATATGCTATGAACTGTGTGACCCTTACTACACCCAAAACGGCATAAACCCTTAATTGTACAATGTACATTATCTACTTTTTGATCAAATGTAAATGTTAACAATGTATTTAATGGCAATTATGACAATATGTACAGCATGAACAATTGTGTACACCTACATGAATCTGTGTAGACAATATAACGTAAGAATCTTTGTGACAACATGTATGACGCCCTGTAGACACTGTACTGTTTAATGCCCTGTACACAAAGTACTGTATGACAATGTGTACCTAGTGCACAATATGTACTGTATGAACCTGTGAACCTTATTTACTTTGAGATCATGTGGACATTTTGTACTGTTTAAAACAATGTATACATTACAATCAGGGAGTAAGGAATAGAAGGGAAATATAACTGACGCGGTACTCCCTACCATACTTTGCAAACGGGTACTTCATTTATATAAGATATATTTGTCTGATGTACATTTACTGCGTATACCATAACCTATTCTGAATATTTATTATACAAATGGAGTACCGTCTGCAAAGCATGTATAATCATTTGGTATATACACTGTTCTCTATGCAGATGTTTATATACTGTACTGTATAATCATTTGTACACTATGTACTGAATGAACACTTAACATGTGAACAAAGTGTACACATTGTACAAGGTATAATCTTGTGTACACTATGACTGTACACATTACTCAATGTACTCTATGAACCTATGTTTGAACTTAGATCCAGAAGACAAAGTTCACAGCGTGAAGGTCGAACCAGTTGAAGTAGTTCATCAGGGAGAGCTGTATCCCAGGTATCTAAACATTTATAACACTATTATTATCCTTAACAATAATTTTATTATTATCATTATTTGAATTAAAATAAGTTTACATGACTAGTGCTTATTTCATTTGGAGAATGTGGGGGTTCATCTTAAGATTTGTTGCTTGCTTGCGCAATGTAATTTTAATGCCCCGTTACATTTTCGTTCATATTCATATTATAATTTGTATTATTTACCTAGATAATCCTTCTGCCAGTTTGCCAGGCGTTCAATGTTAAGGAAACTGTCAACTTTAACATCGAGTCCAACCTGAAGTTGAATAAAGAGTAAATTGAAAAACCCTCCCTTTGAAAAAACAAGGTTTTATATTTTCCAAAATTTGTATTCTTTATACTCAAAACTGAATTTCTTAATTTTAGAAAAAATTAGTTTTGAACACCACGGAAGTTAAGTTCAAGTGTCTTAACTGCGTTTTTTCTTCTTTTTTACTGTAGACTTTGATTACACTGGTGAAAATGTTTCCTCAGGAAGATAAAAGGAAAAAATCAACACAAACCCTCCTTTGTTGCCATAACAATTAATCATTTGGTTAAAAACCTTGGTCCCAGATTTAAACTGATTAAATCTAATCTCTTAAATATCATTGCCAGTGTGTACTGTACAAAGTAATACAAAATCAATCTGTAAAACAGATTTACCAGCGGTACAGTACCACACCATACAGTGCACAGTACAACAGCATACAGTGCACAGTGAAACATCATATGCTGTACAGTGCCGCACTATACAATTAAACAGTATCAAGCCATACATTTGTACAATACCACACTGTACAATTGTACAGTACAAAACCATACACATGTACAGTACCACACCATAAAATTTACAGTACCACACCATACAATTGTACAGTACCGCACCACACACTTGTACAGTACCACGCCATAAAATTGTACAGTACAACACCATAAAATTGTACAGTACCACACCATACAATTGTACAGTACCACACCATAAAGTTGTACATTACCACACCATACAGTTATCTGTACCATACTGTACAATCCTTCAGTATCAAACCAAACAATCTAACCTTCTTCTTCTTGAGTACGGATGTTCCCGTTTTTGCAGCAATATCTGCCAGTGCTGCCTGAACCTTCTTGTCATGATGCTGTCCCTAAACCAGATAAAACTGGATAATAAAATAATGCTGCTGTCTCTAAACCAGAAAAAACCAGATAATAAAATTATGCTGCTGTCCCTAAACCAGATAAAACCGGTTAATAAAATAATGCTGCTGTCTCTAAACCAGATAAAACCAGATAATAAAATAATGCTGCTGTCCCTAAACCAGATAAAACCAGATAAAAAATAATGCTGCTGTCCCTAAACCAGATAAAACCAAATAATAAAAAAATGTCTGCCAGTTAACAGATACAATGTAATTAACCAATTGCAGGGGTCCATATAATTCCCAAAATAGCTGATTTTCTCGATCCCAAAATAATATTTTGTCCCCAACTTTTATTTAAACCAGGGGTTCATCTGAACACAAGGAGTATGAAATAAATAAACCTGATAGCTTAAACCAGGGGTTCATCTGAACACAAGGAGTATGAAATATATAAATCTGATAGCTTAAACTAGGGGTTCATCTGAACACAAGGAGTATGAAATATATAAATCTGATAGCTTAAACCAGGGGTTCATCTGAACACAAGGAGTGTGAAATAACATGCGGCAGAAATGACTCATTCTGCCCCCTCATACATGTATCAACTATGAACTGAATGAATAAATGTCTTTGTTTTTTTTGTTATTCAGTATATATAAAAATTACCGATTCTCTATACATTTACGTGGCGTTTGTACATCAGAGTGTTTAGGAAACAACGACATTACACTATGAGCTGATCCCTGTGCAGTGTTCAGTAAAGGACACTTAGTTTCCCGATTTTTATCTAAAATACCTGTTTATTTCTCGTTGTCTTTTACAGTACATGGTCTTGGTAAATAACACTACAAAAGCTTCGTAAATGGAAAATATCATATATACCTTATAAAGTAAACTATGTGATTAATAAGGTCCACTAAATAAGCTCTATATCTGAAGTACAGTACAAAGGTCTACTATATAAACTTGATATCTGCAGTATAGTACAAAGGTCTATTTTATAAGCTTGATATCTGCAGTACAGTATAAAGGTCCACTATATAAGCTTGATATCTGCAGTACAGTACAAAAGTCCACTATATAAGCTTGATATCTGCAGTACAGTACAAAGGTCCACTATATAAGTTTGATATCTGCAGTACAGTACAAAGGTCTACTTTATAAACTTGATATCTGCAGTACAGTACAAAGGTCTACTATATAAACTTGATATCTGCAGTACAGTTTAAAGGTACACTCATAGATAAATAAATAAACATATATAGCTTATGTACGCAAAATCACCAAGAATTGTACAGTCCGCGAACTCATACTTCTATAGGTCAAAGTGTACTTCAATGATAAGCGGGGTGGTTTGGTGTTTTAATGGATTTCATAATTATTAAACCACTCATTAAAACATCTCTTTACATTTATATCTTTCAAAATGAAAAATGTCGTCTTAAGCGCAATCTATCTTTATCTATGGGTACACTATATAAGCTTGATATCTGCAGTATAGTTTAAAGGCCCACTATATAAGCTTGATTTCTGCAGTACGGTATAAAGGTCTACTATATAAGCTTGAAATTCTGCAGTACAGTACAAAGGTCCACTATATAAACTTGATATCTGCAATACAGTTTAAAGGTCCACAATATAAGCTTGATATCTGCAGTACAGTATAAAGGTCCACTATATAAACTTGATATCTGCAATACAGTATAAAGGTCCACAATATAAGCTTGATATCTGCAGTACAGTATAAAGGTCTACTATATAAGCTTGATATCTGCAGTACAGTACAAAGGTCCATTATATAAACTTGATATCTTCAGTACAGTTTAAAGGTCTACTTTATAAGCTTGATATCTGCTGTACAGTATAAAGGTCCAATAAACAAAACAGTACAGTATACTATGTTCACTATTCAGTAAGTACCTGGTAATGATCCTTCTGTACAACATCACTTGAAAACTTGATACCACACAACCCACAGGAGAATACTGTACACTGAGATAATATTTCCTAAAAATGATCAATTCAATATATATTTAAAGATATCAAAAAACCCGTGGCAAGTAAGACATTTTGTAATATCTCTTTCAATATTAATAGCAGCCGGTTCTATTTTTGAATGTAGACTCATATAATTTGTTAGGAGTAGGATATGAAGTCAGATTGTCTAACGAGGCCGGAGATAAAAAATCGGAGCCGACGGAGGTCACTTTTCAGAGGTTCCAAGACTCCGGAAAGAGATAGCGACAATCTGACTTCATATCCTGCTCCTAACAAATTATATGAGTCAACATTCAAAAAAAGAACCAGCTGCTATTAATATTGAAAGAGATATTACAAAATGTCTTACTTGCCACGGGTTTTTTATTTAAAATCATTCAACAATCAACATATTAACGGAAATTCCACAAGTTTGAATTTTCATCTCGTCTGGGTAGTATTAGACCTTTATGTTGATTATACTCATGCACCTCACCATGCACTTTAACATCTCCCTTGTAAATGTTTTGATTTTACCTGGTTGACCTGGTCAAATTTGTGTTTAGTTTGACATCATACAAGTACTATTCAACTTACATTGTGATTTTTTTACCCATCAAGCGTAATTTGGGAATTTGATCGTTTCAATCGTATTCTAATAGACGAAACCTGTGAAATTTGTGAACTTATTTGCGTACATAGAACTTATTTGCGTACATAATGTTGTGATCTTACTTTAAAAAATCGTAACATGACCTCCCTTGTGTACACCATGACCTTACTTTTGTACGCCATGCCATGACTTCACTGGTGTATGCTATGACCTCACTTAAATATGCTATGATCTCACTTATGTATGCCATTACCCCAAGTGTAAATCATGACTTAACTTTGACCTCACTTGTATAAGCAATGAGCTAACTTTGACCTTAATTAATCCTCTCTTAAGTACACCATGATCTCACTTGTAAATGCTATGACCCTAAGTGCACACCATAACCTCATTTGTTATCATCATGACCTCACATAAATACCTCAAGACCCCACTTGTGTATGCCACGACCTAACATATAGTACATCATGACAGCAAGTTTACAATATGACCTCATGACCTTACCTGTGGCAGATGCCCATCATAGTTGCTTGTCCAGTCAGAATCCATTATTTCCCGAAACCTTCTCTTTCTTCCCTGGGCATCTACAGCTGAAAATAAAATTGCTCAAACTAGAAAAACAGTTGTATTAAAAAGTATTCCCAATTAGTCTTAAAAATAATAAAATTTTGTTAAAAATAATCCTTTTACATAAGAAATATACCTGGCGCTGAGGGTTCTGCCAGAGCCTGCAGTCTTGATGTTACATCACTTGCTCCATTGGACCAGTTCCCGCCTTGGGCTCCATTGGACCAGTTCCCGCCTTGGGCTCCATTGGACCAGTTCCCCCCTTGGGCTCCATTGCCTCTACCCCTCCCACCTCTAAATCCACCCCTGCCCCTCCCTCTTCCTCTCCCCCTCCTACCTCCATTACCAGATTCAACGCCACCCCATGCTTGTCCTGCTACAGGCTGACAAGGTTCTACGCTGCTCCATGCTTGCCCCGACACAGGCTGCCCTGGAGGATACTGATGTTCTGCTGGATACTGTTCACCTACAGCTCTGAAAAGGGACTGTTAAGTTTTATAAACCTATTATATAAACTAGTAATCTCTGTTTAAAATTCAGTGATGATGATGGACCAAACCTCTTTAGAGTAATAAAGTAGATTTTAGTTCCCCATTTATTGAAAATATATTTCGGTTTGGGTTGACTCTCGTCAGTTCCAATGATATAATAACCATCAAAATCGATAAAAAAAAAANAGATAAGTCATTAATAATCAATTGATTTAGAGAAACCAATTTTAAGGCAATTAAAGAATAAACATTTTAGAAAAGAAAGATTTACTACTGTGTGTGTCCGTGTGTTCAATTTATGTACAATGTTTGTTAAAAATAACCCAACTTAAAATTAATAATCAACAATTCAAATTTAAAAAGTAAAACCAGCGATCCTTTAGTGTTTAACATTCCTCATTTTCTTGTTAAAAAATAAAAGATTAGATGTAGCTTCACTAATCCGAATATGCATTTTTATAAATTGCGGATTTTTAAAAATCATTCCCGCATTTCAAACTTTTTTTTCTGGAATTATCTGAAACTAAAATTCATTTCACGCAAATACTAATAAATTGAATAGAATTGAATAAATTGAACAATAAATAGATGCTTAAGTTTAAGTGATTCAATTAAACTTACTTCTAAAATAAGTAAGTGAACTGAAAAATATGGCAGGGGCATAGATTTCACTGGTCCAAGGGGAGGGGGGGCTGAGCCCCCATAGCCCCCACTCTCTGACTACACCTGTGAGTAACCGATATTTTTGATTGACAAAAAAATATCTTTCACAGTTTCACAATCTTAAAATCAATTAATGAACTTATATCGCGCACCTGCTCTATATTTGATTATACTTTTTAGTATGATAAAAGTAAATTCATTTGGTGACATGAAAGATATTAAAAATGTTTTTGTTCCTTTTCCTAGCTCTTCAAAAAAGAAAAGTTATAAAACCAAATAAATCCTGTAAGATGTTAATCAGGCAAAAAATTTCCTTTTATTTTGTCGTTTACAGTTTAAGATTTTTACCTGGAATTAGAATATTCACTGTATCTAAAATTGTCTCCCATTTTTACTCCTTCTGAAAATAATTTGAATAATTAAAATATTATTTTAATATTATTGAATATTTCTGAAAACTTTTAAAAATTAACTTGTCTGATATTCAAATTGATCCTGTGAGTCCGTAGATAGTCTTTTACAAAGGTTAAATCTTCATAAATTTTTAATTTATTTATTGTTTCTTCATTTTTGTTTTCAGCATTCATCTTATTGATTGATTCATCTTCTTGCTTTGTTTTCTTAGTTTTCTCTTGTTCAATCTTGTTTCTAAAAACATCTTGTAATCTTGACTCTTTTTGTAATCTTGACTCTTGTTGTATCCTTGACTCTTTTTGTATTCTTGACTCTTCTTGTAATCTTGACTCTTTGTGTAATCTTGAATCTTGTTGTATTCTTGAATCTTGTTGTATTCTTGAATCTTGTTGTATTCTTGAATCTTGTTGTATACTTGACTCTTCTTGTAATCTTGACTCTTCTTGTAATCTTGAATCTTGTTGTAATCTTGAATCTTGTTGTATTCTTGAATCTTGTTGTATTCTTGAATCTTGTTGTATTCTTGAATCTTGTTGTATTCGTGAATCTTGTTGTATTCTTAAGACTAATTCAGAAGAATTTAATAAATCTATAAACCTGTTGTCTACATCCAGATCACAGATTATCCTGAAAAATAAAGGAGAACATATAAAATAAGTTTTTATATATTTTCTTTAAATTGATAATTTTTACATACAGTTTTCTAAGTGACATGTGGGTCTAAGACAGCAGAGAAAAGGGATAACATTGAAAACATAAAAATTAGACATCAACATGCATTTCCACCATTTCGGGGGGATTTCGACCAAAAATCATTGATCTTTTAAATTTAGGGTACAAAAGATACCCTTAATAAAGTATAAGCAAATAAGCTGAATAAGCTGAATAAGCTGAATAAGCTGAATAAGCTGAATAAGCTGAATAAGCTGAATAAGCTGAATAAGCTGAATAAGTTGTATAAGCTGAATAAGCTGAATAAGCTGAATAAGCTGGATAAGCTGAATAAGCTGAATAAGCTGAATAAGCTGAATAAGCTGAATAAGCTGAATTAGCTGAATAAGCTGAATAAGCTATATAAGCTGAAATGAATTTGATTCTCGAAAAAAAACTTACCTTGGAACAGCGTGGTAGCTGAGACGAGCAGATTTATCCATTACTATTACACTTCCACTAAATAAACTCAGGTCTTAAACATATTCCCAAGACCCCCCCTCACCCCAGTGTAGGGGGGGGGGGCGTATTTTGAAGTTAGAGTGGGGGGGGGTCCAAACTCTCAACTTTTAAGCTTCTAAAACCTTGCTTACATACTTTTCGTCGTTTTGATAATCAAACTGGGGATGGCTTTTTAGCTACAGTTTTCAGATCAATGTTCCAATTCCTTTCCAGATCCTGAATTTTTTGCCTGACAAATAAAGACATAGTTTCCTTGTTAGTAAATAAGGAACCGGTTTCTGCTCTGTTGTTTCTCCCCCCAGCAGGAAAACAGCGGATTGTCCCAGGCTCATTGAGATTAAAGGAGCCGACAGATTGTGTTCTAAATAAAATATAAAAACACTAGAAATATGGGACTCATAAATTAAATAAAATGAGACTTTAATATATGCATTCTTTATGCACTTTCAGCAACATTTAACAACATTCTCCATTGCAAACAGTGGATGCATTTTGATTGAGTGATAAAAGGATTGCATAACTGATTGATTGATGGATTGATTGATAAAGGATTCCATGATTGAAAGATTCGTTGATGGATTGATTGATAAAATGATTGGTTGATGGATTTTTTTATAGATTTGTGGATAAAAAGATGCCATAAATGATTGATTAAAGGATTATTAATTGGTTGGTTGATTGATTGATTGATTGATAAATATACCTGAATGATCTGTATGACCAGATAGCGTAGATGAAGGAGGATAAAAATTAACAATGGCAGCCTCAGCTTTGTATCTAATATATTATTTATGTTTATAAGAAATTCTATACACTCGACATATTTTCATATTTCATATTTTTATTCAACTACAAAGCACGAGATAATACAAATAAAAAAATCACAATTTAATATGTAGTTTGGACCCGCCTAACCAGAGTAGGTTGTTTTAATTGGTTGGCCCACTATAAACGAATGAGAATTGCAGATAAAAACAATGTACATTGTACATTTTAAACATAAGAATGATAGTAGATAAATCAGGAAAAAGGTAAGGAGGAGGTGAGGGAGTATAAAGGAAAGGGAGGATACTCAGCGTAAGGGTTGGAACAGAGGGTAACATAAGTTATTAGAATCATGTTTATGAACTACAGGGTGAAGAAGATAGTAAAGACTAAGCTTATCCACATGATACACAGTTTTTTTTTTTACAGATATAATTTGCATTACTATCTAAATAGATCTTGGCGACTTTTCTTTTAAACGATTTTGCAGATTTAGTTTCTTTCAGCTCAAATTCAATCGAATTCCATATTTTTGGCAATAAAGCAGAGGGAAAACATTCTAGAGTTTTAAAGAGAACCTGTTCAAGTTTATATGATTTTGTTCTATTTGGTTCAGCTAAAGAATAAAAATGAGCAAATGAACAATTGAACAATAGAACAATTGAAGAAAAGTCCAAATTGAAGAAATGAAGAAATAAAGAAATAAACAATTGAACAATTAAAATTTGGACAAATGAACAAATAAACAAATGAACAAATGAACAAATTAACAAATGAATAATTGAAGAATTGACTTAATTGAGGATATAAAGAAGAAAACAATTAAAGGGAAAAATGTAAAAAAAAAGGAATGAATGAATAAAATGATAATTAAATAAATAAAAGAGTACATGAATAATTATAAGGATAAATGAATAAATATAAGGATGAATGAATAAAGAAGGATATATGAACAAGTAAAAAAAAGAATGAATGAATAAAATGATTAATTTATAAATAAAATGATAAATGAATAAATAAAAGAATGAATGAAAAAATATAAGGATGAATGAATAAAATGATTAATTTATAAATAAAATGATAAATGAATAAATAAAAGAATGAATGAATAAAAAAGGAGAAATGAATGAATAAAATGATGAAAGGGTGAATAAAAGGATGAATGAATGAATAAAAGGATGAATAAAAGGATGAATGAATGAATAGAAGGATGAATAAAAGGATGAATGAATGAATAAAAGGATGAATAAAAGGATAAATAAAAGGATAAATAAAAGGATAAATGAATACATAAAATGTTGAATGAATAAATAAAAGGATTGATAAATTGATAATAAAAGAAAGAAAGGATAAATAAAGGGATGAATGAATTAATAAATAAATAAATAAAAGGATGGATAAATAAAAGAGAGGATGAATGACCGCATGAATAAAGAAGAGAAAGGATGAGTGAATGAGAGGAAGGTTGAAGGATGATTGAATGAATGTAGGCTAATGAGGAAGGGAAAATGAATACATTTTTTGGTTTAAAGTATAGCACAGGGTAAAAAATAGGAAAACAAATGTCCAATTTCTTATATTGTAGGTGGGGATAATTCCAGATAATATATATCCCTGTGAAGAAGGTTGTATGTATACCTCTGGTGTCTGAGTGCTTCAGCAATACACTTCGCTACTGCAGCAAGATCTTGAGGAAAATCAGCATTGTTTTCATCATCATCATTATACTGCTTTGTGTCCCAGTTGTGATGGTAGCCCAATGTCGACCAGCGGAGTTTATCAACAAGTCCTTCATCAACCTTTGGCATTCGTTATCAACCTTGAGCCTTTATAATCAACCTTCGTCCTTCATTGTAAACCTTCAACCTTAATTATCAACTTTCAGCCTAAACTATCAACCTTCAGCTTTCATTATCAACCTTTGCATTTCATTATCAACCTTCGGCCTTCAATATCAACCTTCAGTCTTCATTATCAACCTTGAGCCTTTATAATCAACTTTCGTCCTTCATTGTCAACCTTCAACCTTAATTATCAACCTTCAGCCTAAACTATCAACCTACACCTTTCATTATTAACCTTCTGCCTTCATTATCAACCTTCAGCCTTTATTATCAACCTTCAGTCTTAATTATCAACCTTGAGCCTTCCTCATCAACCATTGCCCTTCATTATCACCTTTAGTCTTCATTATCAACCTTCAGTCTGCATTATCAAGATTCTTGCTTATCCCACTTACTTTATAATACCTCTGATTTTTTATCCGTCCCTTTTACTTGTATTATCCATCTTATTTTATTATTCCTCTTATTTTATAATCCATCTTATTTTATTATCCATCTTATTCTATTATCCATCTTGTTTTATTTTTCATCTTATTTTATTATCCATCCTACTTTATTATCCATCTTACATTATTATCCATCTTACTATATTATCCATCTTACTTTATTCTCTATCTTAATTCATTATTTAACTTATTTTGTTTATCTTTTTATTTCATTATCTATAATACTTTATTATCCATCTTACTTCATTATCCATCTTATTTTATTATCCATTTAATTTAATTATCCATCTAACTCCATTATCCGTCTGACCTCATCATTTTTCTTATTTTATTATCAATCTTACTTCATTATCCATCTTATTTTATTATCCATCAAACTTCATTATCCATTTACTTTATTATCAATCTAAATTCATTTATTATTCATCTTATTATATTATCCATCTTATTTCATTATCCATCTTTCTTTATTATCCGTCTAACTTCCTTATCCATCACACTTTATTATCCCTCTAACTTTATTATTCATCTAAATTCCTTATCCATCATAATCATCTTACTCTATTATCAACCATCTTACTCTAATGTCAACCATCTTACTTTTTTTCAACCATGATGCATATCATATCTAATTATTTAATGTATACTAATAAGAATGGACATTTCAAAGTTATTCTAATCTAACTTAACATCTGCATGTGCTGGTTTCTAAACATTCTTTTTTTCTATAGCTAAGACAAGGTTGATATTTTCCTTAGCTCGGGAAAACCAGTTTTCAACACTTAGCTGTCCATCGAAATTCCTTTTGTACTGCAACATTATAATAATAAAGAATCAACCATCATTACATAGAAATCAAGGCCGAGCTAACCATCAGCAATAACAGTCAAAAATTAAATATTACCAATCAATGTTGACCTTGGGACATATAATTTATTGTATAATTGAGACTATTTTGCCTAAAACTCATTCCTCAATTTTAAGTTCATTTAGTTGGAAACATTTGGTAAAGTAAAAACTTTTCATGTTCTGAAAGATTTAACCCTTTCTCATTACAGCTGTAAAATAAGATGTTCAGTATCTACTATTTAATTGGTTTCTATTGCAAAGAGTACAGCTGTAACCAAAATTATTATTTATTTTTATAATTTTATGATTTGTAACTGAATTACTTTCAAATATTCCCTAAAAAACATTCAAACAATCAAAATAAGACAAAACAGTACTTCCCCAGTTTGCTTGCTTTTAGTGTACTGTACTGTGCTTCACTGCACTGTACTGTACTGTACTGTACAGTACTGTACAGTACTGTACTGTACTGTACTGTACTGTACTGTACTGTACTGTACTGTACTGTACTGTACTGTACTGTACTGTACTGTACTGTACTGTACTGTACTGTACTGTACTGTACTGTACTATACTGTACTGTACTGTACTGTACTGTACTGTTCTGTACTGTACTGTTTTGTTCTGTACTGTACTATATGGTAATGTACTGTACCTGTGATGTGGTGTACAAAGATAGACAGGTGTAAGCCCAGTACAATTCCTGCTCCGGAGTGAACAAATCCAATATCAGGATCAGTCCTTAAGAAGCAAGCAGAGGATAGATAACATGGGGAATCCAGCATTTTCAAATGCAAGTTGAACAGTTTCAAACAAGGAATCATTCAATACCATTTTAACGACAACAATGGGAATATTTCAAGCAATGCAATGTAAACCCTTCTTATTCTCTGTCGCTTTCCTGGATTTCGTTTAGACGCAAACATCCTCCATTTTGCTTTTAAATTCATATTTTTCGGAATGTCGCCATCTTTGTTTTCCACGTGGATCTCCATGAAGTGCTCTGCCACGTGAGCTGGATTCCGAGAATCTATAACGGCATCCAAGCTTGGTGCAGGCACTCTTTGCTTGTAATATTTAAAATCATTACGAAATAAATTTTCAGTCATTCTCTCTGAAAACAAGAAAATCTAATAACTAAATTTTGAATCCAAAAAGGAGACTGTGCTCAAATTTTAAGACATTGATTTACAAGATTGAAATTCAATTTTTTATCACTTCTATATATGATGTGTATTTTAAATTGTTTGTTTTTTCTCAGGATGTTATGGGCAAAAGGAAAATACAAGGAACTCTAAGTTGGCACTAGAGAGGAACTTGTCTGAAAGAGTTACTCCTTGAAATACATAGTTTTCAATTTTCCAGCGGGGGGTCAATTCAATTCAAGAATCTAATAAATATTGATTACATGTAAAGTTTATAATTTTAACTAATAAATAACTTGATAGACTCACACATTTTTAATACATTATTCATTTTCATGGTTTCTTAATTTGATGATTTTTTTATTGCTTGCTTAATTAATAAATTGAGAACGAGGTTTGTTCTTTTTTAAAATGTTTTTAATTAATTCCAAGAATGAGAAATTCAATGACTACTTCTTCATGGCATGCATAATTGACAAAAATAATCGAGTCAATTGGGATTTTAAATGAATTGTGATTAATTGATTAAATGCTGGATTAATTGATGGGTCCAAGATCCAATGATTAATCGTCTTCGTAGATAGCGTTGATTTAGTTTGAGTCAGTAAATCTGAAATCAAGAACATTTTTAACAATGTAGGTAGAATAAGATATTTCATTTTAACTTTTAAATATAAACTTTCAATCTTTTAAAGATGGATTGATAGATAAATGGGTCCAATGGATAAATAGAAAGAAAGACAATTTAAATAAAAGTAGACGGACAATGGAGAGATTGATCCATAAATGGAGAGATTAATAGAAAGATCATATATTTTAATGTCTAGATTGGTAAATAAGGCAAAGAATTGATAAATAGATGGAAAGAAAGCTGCATGGATAGATTGATAGATGGTTGGATAAATAGATAAGATAGATAGAGATGTATGAATAGATTTAAAAATACAAAATATAAAAAAAAAACATTTAATTCCGGCAATTTGGAATACTAGTTTTTCCAAACTTATGAAGAAATAAAGGATAAAAATAGATTATATATTTAATATGGTAGTGTACTGTACTTTTCATAAGTTATGTACAAATTAATTGAATAAAAAGAGATTATATATTTAATATGGTAGTGTACTTGTACTTTTCATAAGTTATGTACTAATTAATTGAATTAAAGAGATTATATATTTAATATGGTAGTGTACTGTACTTTTCATAAGTTATATACTAATTAATTAAATAAAAAGAGATTATATATTTAATATGGTAGTGTACTGTACTTTTCATAAGTTATGTACT